CTGAAATGCAAATGACCATGGTTCTAATTATTTTTCCTTTTGTTTAATGATCTACGTTACATGGAGGAACATAAAACATGCAAAACAAACGTAATTGGGGTGGAAGACAGAAAATAGATTATTACAGAAAGCACCATAAAATAAAGTACGTCACTTCCTTTTTTGATTAAAATAAATTGAATTAACATGTTTTAACTTAAAATCAAATATGTGATTATACTTGTAAGATTTGGATACAAATATTATTGAATGAAACAACAAAACAAAATAAGAACATTGGTTTTCAGTGAACATTAGAGTAACCAGATCAGATTTTTTGCATTAAAATCAGATTTTAAACAAATTGTATTTATTCTAGATTCCCTGTGTTTCTGAAATAAAGTATAGTTTATAGTATTTTCACCTTGAAGTTTCTTAAGTTTACCAGTTTTAAAAATAAACTGAATGAACATGATTAGAAAGTGAACCCCAAGGAGAGAGGTGTAATTTTCCATGATTCTTCTTGGTTAACTTATCATTCAACCTGAATAGCTACTCTTTGTTAAATGTCCTACCACCCCACCTCCAAATACCTGTTGCATGTTTCGACAGATAAAGTTGTTCTTGTCTCTTGGAAGATATTTACAGTACAATATGATGGTACGGATCAACGTGACCTTATTAAGCAGCGTTTTCCTATTCAGGGGTTCCCATCAGTTAAGCTCTAGGATGCAAATTCAGTTTTCCAATGTGCATGCTTATCTTTGTGGCCAAGTGCATTTATCAAGGTAATTATTGTTAAATAAAACTAACGAAATTAAGAAAACTAGAATAAAAAGAACATTCCTGTTACCTGAAATACAAACTAGAGCCTAAAAACAGGAAAACTAACTAAAACTGTAATAAGAGTTTACAAAACAAATTAAGACAAAGTGCATTTTAAGAGAGAATGGTGCTCTATGAATGAGCACCTGTATTTTCTTTCATTAAAGTCATTGTGCTTATTCTCTCTTTGTGTCTTTATCATAATGCATTAATAAGAGGTCTAGTTTCAGGTTGCTTTTTGTTTTTTTCGGTGTACCATCTTACGCCTGCAGATGGCAGGTAAGGCAGTCAGGTTATTTGTTTCTTTTCTTCTTTTTTGTTTTTCTTTTTGTCCCAGTAAGTGGTATTACATAAAAGATTAAACTATAACTGAAACTGATTTAAAAAAAACTTAACTAAAACTAAGCATTTTCAAAAGATAGACACTAAATTAAACTCTGTAACAAATACTAAAAACAAATGAAAACTAAAATAGAACAAATTCAGAAGTCAAAACTAAAAAACAAAAACATTTCAAAACTAAGTCTTTGTGGTTATGGGCTGAGAACGATAGAAATCTCAATTAGTAGAGGCGTTACTTCCGTAAGGTGATGAAGTTTTGAAAGTATTTGGACGAGCAGTTTCACCCGCAACATCATGGGCGCTATTAGGGTAGTTCAGATGGAGCGTTTCATCTCAACTGACTTCTCTTCTCTTTTTGAAGACCATTTTGGTAGCGGTGGAAAGAGTGTGAGGACGGCGCGTTTGCCAATGGGTGGATGGGCAGAGGATGGTAAAGCATCATCTAGACACCATGAGCCTCTTCAAGAGGAAACCTCAGAGGATGAGCTTCCTCCTCACATACACAAGGTAAATATTTAATTATAGTAGATGTTAGGTTTTTCTCATGTTTGCTGCATTTTTTTGATGTTTGTTCCTTTGTCTTTTTTTTCTAGGTTACATAAGCCATAGGAAGAATTATCGTCATAGATGATGATTCGCATCCTCCTTTTTCTCCATACCTGTACTTTGGATTGATCTGTTTCTCTTGAAAATACAGATGAACAGCAGGGTTTATCTCCACCCCTTTAAACTATTGTTGTGTGGAAAATACAACCAGTACTGACCTTTATGTTTAAATAGGCAGATGGCATGAAACGTCTCTTCTCATCGAGGACATCCAAGATCAAGTTATATTGCATAACATTACACACTAAACTTGTTTATGATGTCGTGTAATTACAACATAAAAGTCAATGTCCTATTGCAACTTAGCAGAAAAAAGATGTAAAGACTCAGGACTTCTCTCTGTAATCCAGTCATGGTTTCTTAATTCCTTGCTCTTTTCGAAATCTAAAAAAGATAATTGACTTATTTAATCAGTACTAATAATTAAACCAGTGTTCAGAGTTCTACTGATTACACAATAATTTTTCTGTGTTCTGGTATGAGTTAATCTTACATCTGACATTTTTGCAAGAAATCTTATGTAAAATTACTTTACTTTTAATTATACTTTGATTTCTCTTCACATGTATGTTCCAGATTTGGCTTTCTAAATTGGTTTCAAACTTTGCCCTAAATATGGTTCAATTAGAGCTAATTTATGCAGAGCAAGTTGCCTGCATGAACATAAGCATATTGAAGGGAATTAGGAAGATGGTCTATCAAATTAATTGAATTCACATCATACTTAAACCAGCATTTTGGGATGGATGTTGATGTGTGTTAAGGCCTTGATCTGATGCTTAAGGAGCCCCTAAACACAAATGCATGATCATTTTTAGAACCAGCTTACCCCTTATATATAATCTTTGCTGATCACAGCATGACAGTTCTTTCTGATTTTCTTTTGTAAATGTTTTAAATGATGAATTGCACTTTAATAGTTAGTTTCAATGCATCAGATGTTTGTTTTGCATTGTTTTATATGCTTTTTTGTAAGTTCTTAAGTTATTTTCTGTATTAAATGGATGTGCCATGATGAGGGATGACTTTAAAATATGTGCCTAATAATGTGCACTCACATTTGATAAAGAACACTGTAAGTATAAGGAAGATGCAGACGTGCGGGTAAACTGAAGTCCTAACAGATGTATTCTGTTTTATAGATGCTGTATAGTACCACTTTGTACAGTTGTAAATCAAACTATTAAAGACACATGAATCAATCAATCAATCTGCGTGCCGTTCCTAGTGTTTATCCACGGTGTGATCGCGGTCAGCTAGCTGTAAAATCGTTCACGTAGTTTGTGGCACTCAGAGCCCGGATAGCTCAGTCGGTAGAGCATCAGACTTTTAATCTGAGGGTCCAGGGTTCAAGTCCCTGTTCGGGCGAAATTTATTTTCCTCTACATTATTATATGTGTCATTTTTGGGGTTTTCTGCATTAAATGTGAGACTGTCTATGCCCATCTAATTACGTTTACAACTTACATTACACCATTTCCATCTTTCCATTTTGGATCACAGCCAATCAAAGCCTAATCCCATAGATCGTCATTGTTGAAGAGCCAATCATGTTCCAGTATTTCCATCTTTCTCCTTAGAGCCAATCACGTTCCAGAATTTCCATTTTTGCCACGTATCCTCATAGCCAATCAAGAAAGTGTATTTCGAAAAAAATCTACGCGTCACTAACTTAATTATACAACCATTCACTATTAACATTTTCCAAAACTTTCCCATCAACTAGTGGTTACGTGGTTTACATTGTTTAGAGATTATAAAGTTGAAACTGGACAAGATAAAAAAAATAAAAAATTAAAAAAATAAATAAAAACGGTTTTTGATGAGCTTGGTCTTTCCATTTCAGCGGTGATTCAACACATAGGCTAAGTAGGTTTGGCTGCAAGACTTGAGGCAGTGATGGCTGGTGGGGAAGAGGTTTTTTCTAGCGTGTTTACCTGAGCTAAGACAAAGTCATAACATAGGGAGATTTTCATATTTTGATGACTGCACAGGGATAAATGCAATAAAAGCTCAACCTTTAGTATTTCGTGAATTAGATGTAGGCAAACTGCAATCCTGTATAAGGGAATAAGTAAACCTTAATCTGATTGTTCCAAGCTTTATGTTCTAAGCATTAGACAGCACTGCACACAAAATATCTTGGCCCGTACGGGGATCGAACCCGCGACCTTGGCGTTATTAGCACCACGCTCTAACCAACTGAGCTAACCGGCCGTGGAAATTGCGAGAGTGAACTGATAAAATCAATCTATGTGTGGAGACTAAATAGAAAAAAGGCTTTCATAAAAGAAAGAAATGTATGTCTCCCAGACTTTTTTTTTTCATTTTGTCTTTTGTTTTTTATTTTTATGTTCTATATTCATGTATATGACTAATAAAACATAGGTAACATAGAAAGCAACTTGAAAAAAAGAAGATCATACAGAATCCTCAGGCAGTTCTGTGGTTAAAACCCTATAGACATTTTGGATCACTTCTTTAATAGTAAGTTTAAATAGTGAAAATATCTGGGTTAGAGACAGAACTCTTTTCTGGGATGCCATCAAGAATAGTTCTAATTTTGAGGAACAATGACGATCAATTCTTGAGTGACTTGGCTCTTAATTGGCTGGTGTCAAAAACACCATCCACCTTTAGAAAAAACGAAGTTTCCACATATATAATGAGATTATTTATGAAAAAGGACACCACTGCTTATCACTAAGCCACAGTTGTTTTCTATTGATACTAAAGTGTAAGAACATCCTGCATGGGTCTTTTGCATATTTGTATTGTAAATAGAGATTTTATATGGGACAGTCACACTTTCACTTTGACAAATGTCCTCTTAAACTACAGAATAGTGTTGCCTTTTAGAAAAGTTGTTTTAATTTGCACAAGCAACAGGTAAAAAAAGAAAACAAGTACTCCTTTAGCACACCGACTTCTACCAGTTTTAGATGGATCATTGTTAAACCATGATAAGAATTTTTTTTAGATACATAAACCACTTGCTTGAAAATGTGTTTAAGCCTTTAGCCTTTAAGGTTAGATAAAATAATAATTTCAATTAAAATATATTCCAATTCTTAATAAAAACTACATTTCAATGAGCCTAGTTTGAATAGTACAGGACCCGTCAATTGAATTTGATTGGTCGAATACAGGTTAGTTTTTCAATGACGTTTGAGATAGGCAGGGCTCTGAAAAATGTTACAGTCGGATTGGCCCGTACGTTGAAGAAAATTGGTTAAGGGTGGAGTCTAACCCACTTGGCGGCCATACTGAATGTTGTCTGTTGACAGTTAGTTAGTCTCAAACATTTTTATGAAAACTTACTACGTATCCATTTAAAGTGCAGTGCCTTTACCCTCCGGTGCTAGGACGGATGTCCTAGACTGGCACTGACCTTATTAACAAGCTATGGATGAAGCTGAACGGCAAAAGAAGTTAGAAGCTGGGAGAGCCAAGGTTTGTTGCTAACGTGTGATGCTAGCAGTTAGCCAACTCTTTTGTCATAACCTTGCGTCTGTTCACAGCTTACTACACCCACCTCTGAATTATTTAACTTTAATCGTATTTTATATCCCCTTATTGGTAAATACAAGCCGTATAGATGCAGCTGTTTTTTTATACATATAAGTTAACAAACAAACAAATAATTAGTTAGCTAACGGCTATTAAGTAGAATCTGCTATCATACTCCTCTGAAAACAAACGGATATCTTTTTTTCGATTGGTCTAATTAAGTTAATAATTCATAGCTTAAAGTTCATCAGTAATTTGCATGGACATTTAACGTTATTTATAAGTTAATACTTGTTATGACTGATAATATTGATAATATTGATCCGATATAAACCTGCTTTTCTGCCTTTAACTTTAAAAAGACTTAAGATTAAGTTTATTTTCAAATAGATGATATTTTACATAAAACTCTTTTTAATTGAGCTTCTTGGCCGACTAAATGTTTTTGTTTTGCAATTAAGGACAAGAAATTTAAGGTAATAACTTGAAAGTACCTTTCAAGCTTCTGTTGTTCTGCTATTCTCTGTTTATTTGGTTGATCAAGAAGTCTTAAAATTTGTTTCTATTGTTTAAGGTTACCAGTGTTTTATTAACTAGTGGTGCTGAGGCCAATCTTTTGTTCACCTTGAAAATCAGTTTGAAGGTTCAGTATTAGTTACTATGTGATATATTTGCAATGCATGCCCATAGTCTAGCAGTGAACTATTCAAACAGACTCTTGATTAATCTCAGCGTCTCCATCAGAGAAATCTCAAGAGTTGTCAACTGGATTCAATGTGTTAAAGCCTGGTCAGCTCAATCATCTGAACACAAACAGTCTGGCTTTTAACTACCACCATCAAGAGGATGTGTTTAACCGCAGAGGTGTTTAAGATGAGTGTAATCACTAAAGGTCAGAGGTGTTGATGGTGTTATATTGACATTTGACAGACCAATACATTTTTGTTTAGGGCTATGGCTTGTTCAGTGTTTCTTTTGCTCTGCCCCTTCTCTTCAGTCATTGCAATGTTCTCACCACTCTTCCCCACATCTATGTCCTGTTTGAGCTTAAAAAGACAGTGAAAGTCCATGCAACCAAAGTTTGAAGTAAATATTGCCTCAAAACCTTGCTTGGGGAAATGGGTGTGGTTTTATGTTTTTTATCCCTTTGGTCGTTTTCTTTAAATTGTACAAATTCCCATGCATAGGGAGATCATTTTTAAAATGTTTATTTGATATGTTAGACATTGGTTAGTATATTATTTGATGCTATTATGGCACAACAGCGTTACTCTTCTTTTTAATCATGAATAGTCTCTTCGTCTATGAAAAATAACTATATTGTCAAAAAATCATTTTGAACAGATTCTTTTTCTCGGACCAGCTTATTAATATAATATTCTCTTTGCAACATTTGGGAAATGTTGCCAACAATGCAAAGGATTAGCTTAAAATGCAGAATAACATTTATATCAGGTGCAATCTTTCCAAAAAACTTAAATAAATTGTTGATATATTATTGATTTCTTATAACAGACTTCACCCGACATGCCTCGAAGCCAGCCGGTAAGTACTGAGAGTGGGGACTAGCTGAGGCTGTTTTCTTTGTGCTGACTCTGATTACATGATTCCATGGATTTCTGGTTATTATTTTTCTTGGGTGGTGGCCTTACACTCTAATCCTGTTGGGAAGTTCATTATGATTTTGAGGGGGAAAGCTATGCTTTCAGATAATTTTGCAAATTTGAAGTGTAATTTTGTTATTGTTCATTATATATTCATTTTTACCCAAAAGGGGGGGAGGGGGTATTCTGCTGCACATATATATCTAAAAAGAACCCCATGCACAATATGCATATTTGCTTGACCACGACTCCCAAATTTATTGCCGTTCAAACTTGCTTTATTTTTTAAATTGTTGCTGGTGCATAATTTTAGTGGTTTCCCAGAGACATGGCTGATCACCCAGACAAAAACCTTCCAAATTTGGAAGAATTCTGCTTCTTTCTAGAGTGATAAGTCTAACAAGCTAATTTTGGCTGTTCTGACAGTCAGACATTCTTCCCAGGTAGCCAGTAGGTGTATTATCATGGCTTATTGTTGCTCTGATACAAATAAGCCATCTAATCCTGGCAAACCAGTCTAATTGATGTTAACAAAATCAAAATATTGCTATTATGACTCGGACTGTTATCTTTTGCTTTTTGAGAGTGGCAGGTGGCTTTCCTTTAATTTCCACACTGCTACTTGCGATGCTCTTCATTGAATGAAATTTCAGTTCAAAATAAAGAAAAATAAATTACAGATTCATGAAACAGCCACCATTGTCTGTATTTAAAACATATGGAAAAAGTAAGATCTTTCTCTCTGCTGGCTCTCAGTGTGCAGCAGCAGGGTTACTTGGACATATATTCTGAATTCTCATGAAAATGAATTTAACTAGTTAAATTTAGGGGTGTCCCAATACAATTTTTTTTTCGTTTATGAAATGGTACAGATTTTGCAGATTTGAGTATTAGGATTATACCGATAGTGACCTAATACGATATCAACATAAATCATACATGCTTTTAGTACTTATTTTATAATGTGGAATGATTAAAATAAAGGCTTGAGCAAGTGGTATTTCTTTCAGAGAAGCATACCTAACATCAGGTAGGAGAACAACTGACCCATTACTTACTTACCAAAGAGTTACGTTAATTTTAAATATAAGGGCGGTTTTGCTATAAGCTTTCTGATATCAGGGATTTTAGAGGCTGGTCGATCTCTTCAGATATTCAGTTTTTGATCACTATCAGACCGATTTTCTGATATTGGATCGGGACAGCCCGGTTAAAGTAAAATGCTTGTTATGATTTAATAGACGCACACAATCTAAATGATTAATTAATTTAGCAAAAACAGTCTTAGGTTTATGCTCTGGAGATTAATTGCCATCACATATTAGTGAATACTTCGACCATGCAGAAGGTTTACTTTGCCTTTCTGGTTTGACATTTTATCCTTTTCTGCTATATTATATGATAGCTTCCACTTTTGTGATGTGAAGCCTCTCTTTATTAACCACTGCAATGCTTGTTGAAAGCCATCAGATGGGGCAGTGGCTCTAAAAGCTTACAGGAGCTTTGTTATGCTGGTGTTTCACACAGGGGGTGTTGCTATGGTAATGCTTTGCTGTCAGTTGTTCAAAATTTTCTCACGTCACCACATTGGAAGAGCTGCATGTGCAAAGATTGAACACAAATAAGGATTCGTGGAAGGACTGGACCTCCTTTAAGTCAGTGTCAATGCATGTTTTAGTGGCATTGTTTATAGTTGGTTATATTTAGTGGAGAGAGACTCCAGCTAGCTGCTTAGTCAGACTCTCAGCGGTGCTGAAGTGGCCTTGGGCTAAACAAAACTCATCTGCCTGATGTCTTTTTGAGATCTGATATTCTGTGGCAGGTAGAAACACTAATTATCAATATGGCTGGAAGGTGGCTGGGATTTCAACTGATTAATGAATTAACATTAACCCAACTTGCTAGTATTGAATTACATTAGATCAAAATGAGGCTTGGGGGGGGGGGGGGGGAAACCTGAACATTTGAATCTGATTATTGGTACATGGGAAATAAAAAACAAAACATACTATGTGGTTTTTGGCCAACTGAAGCACTGACACGCATGCAGTGAAATCATGCATCATGTATCTGACTCATTGCACAGAGCAACAAGTAGGTCTCCAGCGAGCGTGTAATCTCAGATTGACTTGAGCACGCACACTCTGATGCAGCTCACCACACATGGAGCTTTGTCTCCTCCTCTCCGTGTGAATGCATCTCCCAGTCTCCACCCTCTATCCTTGGTCTAGACGTATGCCATCATCTTTGAGGAGTTTGCAGCTCTCTGTGCTCTGGATGGTGATCTAGTTTGGAGGGTTCAGCAGGCTGCCAGGATCTACATCAGGACCATGAAACAACTGATCCTATAAGGGAGGAAAAGGGCAACTCTGACCCGTCTGCAAGAAAATATGTCATCAGTCCACTTTAAGTTACTGCTGCACAGCATGGCCAGAGGCTGTTGTGGTGATCTGATTTAATCTGCTAAAGGAAGAGATGGCTGTGAGAGAGATGGCAGATAGGATGGAGCCTGTGTTGGAAATAAGAAGTGGATTGAAGAGAATTTACAGCAAAAATGATCCTGCAGAAATAACATGGCTTAATCTGGAATAGTGCTTTTATGGAGATCTATCTTAAGGAGTTTCGGAGAAGACTGGAATATGTTCATAAAAGTTTAGCCAAAGGAAAAACTGCAGCGTAACTGTACTTTTTTTATTTTGTCTTACAGTGCTCTGTTTCTGATCTGCTGAGATTTTTCTGACTCATTAAATTCTCCTCAGCTCATGGGGGAGGTTCAGTTCTCCGGAGATTGAAACATTTTTAGCATACTCACATTATTACTTGGCTGTCTCAGCAGATTATACTGTTCTCTATTATTGGTGCAAGTTTGGGATTTCTTCTTGATCCGCTGACTTTTTTCCTTGCTTTGTTTCAGATCCTTGAAAATGGGCTCTCTTTCTTTTCTATAAACATTTTAAGCTCAACTCTGAACACTGAATGTCTAAAATTACAATGCTCTGATTTAGTTCAAATCTAGACTGAGTTTGTTTTTTTTTTGGTGGTGTTTTGTGTCTTTTTTTTCACTCTTGAGTTTTACCATGCTAGTTGTTTGGTGGTGCTCTGTACTCCTGACCTATGTATCCGTCTACCTCTCGTTGTCCTTCCTGCGCAGCTTGCTAGTTTCAGAAAGAAGCGGGCGAAAAGAGACGGTGCGGGGGCGACGAAAAAGACGCAGAAGGGGAAGGGCCAGACTGTCCCGAAGAATGACTGCTCGACGCAAGACCGTTGGGTAGAAGCCCCGCCGCCGTCAGCTGGCGCTACAGCGCTAGAAAGCAGGACCAGCTGTGAGGTATGATGGGGTAGAACTGGTTAACAATTTTTATAAAATTATTTCCTGCACATCACACAAGTTTATCCATCGTCTGGTCTTTCTGTTCCTTCACATGCTGTTCATGGTTCTGTCTGAACATACACTTTAGAGAACTGGGTCACTAACCATTGCATTACCCGTAGGGCCTGTTGTCATAGCAACCTGACCAGGTTCAGCTGAAGCATCATTTGCTTTTTTTTTTTTTCCTTCCTTGTTGTTTAGTCTTCTGTTTCTGTTCAGTCTACATCAGGTGTTGGTTAGCACATAATTTATGTGATCTATGAATGTTTTTTAATTTTTTTCTCATGTTTATTTTTATAAAGGGGGGCTCACACTCTGAGCAATCAGAAAATCAGCAATGTGACCAACAAGAGGAGTCCTTCTCCTCTCCGGACCGAAGCCTTTCCCCTGTGGAAGACCTTAGAGAAGAGGAACTAGCTACACTCACTGGCAAAGAGCAACTCAAGGTATTGCAGACAGCAAGATGCTAAAAGTTCAGCTTTTAAAGTTATATAGATAATTTCCAGGTCTGGAAATAACACTACTGTTTGATTATAACTAGACAGCAAGTGTGGGAATGGAGATCGTATTTTACAGATTAATTTCCTTTCCCACCTTCATGAAGAGTCTGTTTGTTCATATATTCACTCATGCTATTCAACCTGCACTTCTGGAACACTGTGCTTTGAATTCACAACCCTCCTCAGAGGTAGTGCTTTATAGGATCTATTTCTTATTTATAGGATTTATATGTTAAAAATACATTTTTTTTCCTGATAGGTTTAAGCCTGAAATTATTGACACTGAAGAAGATAAGTTTCTTTCTGACTAGAAATGAGAAGGTTATACTCAAAAGAGAATGGCTTCACCATTTAAAAAAATATCTTCTATTCAGAGGAGACATGTTAATAAAATTACTTTAACACTAAGTTTAAATTGGGCCTTAATGGCTTTGGTTATAACTGTAAGTTTGATCATATTCAAATATTCTATTCAGGCTTATGGTAACTAAAGCAAACACTGTGTACCCCAGATGCACAGTGCAATAAAGACACAGTGCATCTGTGCAATAGAGAAATTTGTCCATTCTAAAGTTGTATGAACTCTGTGTTTGCAGCTCTTGCAGCAGGCTGTTGAAAAGCGAAATGAAATAATTGCCAAGCTCAGCCATAACCTGCAGGACGCCCTTGCAAGTAGAGACCAGGTGCAGCTGGAGGCTCAGTCTCTTGCTGGACAGATACAGGCTCTGCAGAAACAGCTCCAGCAGGTAGGAACTTCACAGTGGGGGAACTTTAACATCCAGTTATTTTTAACCTTCCAAAGATTCATGTATTTTTTTTTTTCCCCAACAGACTAGTGTGGAGTTCCTGCGGATAAAAGGTCACTCTGGGGCTGAAGCCTTTGGTGTTGCAGAGCACCACCATGACCTTTCTTCCAAAACTACAAACATCAGGCCTACAGAGGGAATATCAGAGGGATCAGAGAATGCAGGTCATGGCTCCCAGCAGAGCCCTGAAGGCTTCAGCACTGAGACTGAGGTGGACACTGCTATACACAATCTGATGTTAGAGCTGGAAGAAGAGAGGAAGAACAATCAGCGTATCCGTGCCGAACTAGAATCGGAGATGGAGAAAAACCAACTTGTGCTTTCACTGTTGGAGGAGGAGAAGCAAGGGAGGGAAGAGGAGCAAAAAGAACTCCAAAACCTCCAGACACAGTTAAGCCAAGCCCAAAACCAGTGCCTTGTCATGCAGCAGTACAAGGAGGAGAAGGAGAAGCTAAACATAGAAATACTGGAGCTGAGAAAAAAGCTGCAAGAGGCAGAAGACTCAGAGAGAAGGTCTGATTTTAAAAATGAAAGCCCAGCTTTTTGTTCTCAGACTCTAGAGGAAGTAAATAAGAGACTTGAAGATGAGATGAAAATGCTCAGAGAGGAGGTTGATCATGTTAGGCAGCTGTTAGATAAGAGTGAAAGGGAACTAAAGCGGAGAGAGGAAGAGGTGGAAGGACTCAAAGCTTCTAAGAACAGAGAAAACCAAACCAAAGCTGCTTTTATTGCTGAAGCCAATCTGGAAGCTGGTCCTGATGAGAGAGATCTGGATACATCTCTACAAGGAGATATTCTGATGGATCGATACTTGTCCTCCATACCCCCTGCACACTCCCAGTCTTCAGTGGTAGGTGAACTTTTGGACCAACCTAGTCAGCTGGACCTATCTGCAGACTGCAGGTGATTAAATTTCTGGAGTTTTCTTGTTAGTTGTTGTTTTTATGCATGATGGCACTAAACTTTTCTCTTTATTTATCTGAACAGCTTTGAGCTCAACAGTGAAGTCTTCGGTGATCAGCCCCTGCTGTCCATTTCAAACCGCATCTGTGAACAGAACGACAATATTCAGAACATCAGCGGCTCACAGCACAGCGCCCCAGAGGTCGGCCATTCCAGTGAACTTTTAGTCTCTCTGTGGCCTCACAGCTCAACTGCAGGTGACATGGAGTGGAGTCAGTTGTCCGAGCAGCAGCAGTTAGAGGAGATTGACTTGGAAAAACAGCTGCTGAGTCAGCAGTGTGGGGAGCTGCGTGAGGAGCTAGCTCTGAAGGAGCGCAACTTGGGGGTGTTGAGAGAGGAAGTCCGGAAGAGTGCAGAGGAGTTGGAGGAGGCACGGAGCAGGTAATGGAAAGTGATTTGTTTTGTGTATCTAAGCTCATAAAAGATGGAAGTATGTTAAGAACTCTGCACACTGTCTAACAAGCATTCTGACTATTTGAACTTGTTTGACTAAAGTGAAGTAGAGCATGATTGTGAAGTGGAAAAGACAGTGATGTACTGTTTATTTTACAAAAAAAAAGGTTTCCTAGATTCAGGTTCATTCATCACACATCAGCTCCTTGTATAAGTTCCTCCTTTTGCCTCTGATTGAATGTTTTATTCTTAACGTCCAACTTTGTGGGTTTTTTTTTTTTTTTTCTTCAGGATTAACCTAAAATTATTTTTTTTAACAGGCCGTTGAGATTTAGTTTTTAAAAACTGTAATTTTTCATCCATTTTACCATTATGTCCTTTAAATCATGATATTACAATGTGGTTATGACCTGACAAGACGTGCTTTTTTATTCACAGAGCCAATTTGTGCCAAGATAAATGTGTAGAGAAGAAAAAGCTGATCTAATCCATTTATACACGTTTATTAAACTCTGAATGTATTAAGCTTTTTGAAATAACCCAATTTGTTCAGGTGGGCCCTGGTAACAGAGGAACTGCAGGAAGCTCTCGGTGAACTCGAAGAAGAGCGGGAGAGGCGAAGACTTGTTGAGGAGGAGATGAACCTGAAAGCTCATAAGCAGGATAACTGTGACGACAAAGACGTCTTAATGGAAGAATGGGGAAATGAAACTCGACAAACTTCTGAAACCCCCCTTATTCAATTTACTGCCAATTTATCAGAGTATGCAGATGAATCTGTAGGGGAAATTAATGAGGAGAAGCAGGTAGAGGTTTCACTTTTGCTTCCTCAAAGCCAAGAGGAGCTGCAGATGGAGACTAAGCCTGCAGATTCTACCAAAGACCTTTCTGACCCGACTGATACCCAGATCCAAACATCACTGGTATGTCACTGCAGAAGGCATCCCAGATTCATTAAGAATACCAATATGCTTATGATTTCAAGGTAAAGCAGACTGCTGTGAAGTAAATTTCTGTGAATTAAATGTAGTCTTGTTTTCTTCCTATCTCAAGGCCGATGGTGACCATCTGATATCAGAACTAGAGGAAACAACGAAGGAACAGAAAGCTACATTGATCCTCCTTAGCCAGGAGACACCTGAGCTCAATGCTGTGTCAGAAGAGCTGCAAATGACTCGGACTCAGTTTCTGGAGCTCCAAGCTAAAGCCAACAATCTGCAGCAAGAGCTGCTGAAGAGCCAGGACAGTCTAGACTCTGCGGAGAGAGAGAAAAGGGAGTTGGAAGGGCAAATTCACACTCTGAGAGAAAACCTGGCCTGTTTGGAAGAGGCCCAGGCTCAGTCTGTGAAACAGAGGGAGGAGGAGAAGAAGAAAGAACAGCAGATGGACGAACAGATAAAAAAGATGGAACAGGTCCTGGAGAAGGAACTGGAACAGTTTGAAAACATCATTAAATCTAAGGAGGCAGAGGTTAGATGTGTGCATTAACATTTATTTTTTCTTTGAATCACTTTTTTTCTGTGTTTATTGATATGATGCACAATTTAATCGAACAGTTGGCTGAAGAGAAGGAAAAATGGGAGGAGGAGAGGCAGGAGAAGGAAAAGCTCATTGATTCCAAACGTTTGCTGGTGGAAAAAGTGAAGGAGAAGGAAGAGGAGGTGAAGGTTCTCCTTGAAAAGCAAATCCTGGCTGTGGAGGAAGCTACAGCAAGACTTAAAGCTTCTCATGAGCAGGAAGTACGTAACCTGATTGAGAAACATCAGCAGGAGGTAAGATATACAAACCGAATTAATGTCTTCAGATTGGGATTCCGATCCTTCTATAAGGTCAATATTTCTTTCTAAATGATCTAGATTTCTGAACTGAATGATCACCTGGAGACAGAGCTGCTGAAGCAGCGCGTCAGTATGGAGGAAGAGCACAAGCGACAAATCAGCTTCATCAAAGAGGTATCTGTCAGTTGTTCTGGCTCATCCAAAATCATATTTTCTTTTTCTCCTGGCACAAATTTGACTTTTTATCGTTCTTTTATTTATGAATTTTTTTTATTTTTTTATTAGGTGACTGAGAGGGAGCATGAGAGGATCATGTCAGAGCTGACAGCCAAACACAACCAGGAGCTTGAACAGCTAAGGACAGAGGTGTCCCTGGAGCTGAGGGAGAGCTTTGAAGCTGCCCACCAGGCTGAGATGCAGGAGGTTCAGGTAGATTTTATAATCTACAATTTCAATTGAAAAAACTATATAGATTTAAATTTCATACATTTTAAAGCTTGGTTTAATATGGCCTTTGAGCAACTTGTAAAAACTACAAATGGTGCTCAAGTCTCTTGAACATTCAGTAGGTAGTACTGCTATTTCCTCTAAGCTGTACAAACTCTTTTCAGGCCCAGAAGACCTTGGAACTTGAAGCTCTACGTGTGAGCCTGACCACCGTTTACACATCTCAGCTGGAGGCTTCACAAGCAAGCAAAGAGCAAGCTGAAGTAATCAGTAAGCTCAAAGCCTCCATGAAGGAGACGTTCACCCAGGAAAGGGCTATTCTTCAAGCCCGGCATGAGTCGGACCTGGAAAAGCTCAAACAAGAGAATCAGGAACAACAAGACAGGCTGCAGAAGCAGCACCAACTAGAGATGGGTACGTATATACAAACTAAAACACCTCTCTGTCAATGTTTTCATTCAGGGATTTATTTTTGAATGTTTTTCTGAATGTTTAGATGAGTTGAAGCAGCAATGGGAGACTCGTTTTGATCAGGAGAGAGCTTCAATGGAGGAGAAACGAGATAAAGAAATAGAGGTGACGCGTTTGATTTTTGTGCTTTGTAAACTAATATCTTTTTGTGACTTGACGTAGCAGAACAACAGAAAACACATTTTTGTGACTTGGAAATTACATAGTGTTCAAGGCGTGTGGTGCACATTTAGGCTACAAAAGCCTTCAGTTGTTAGTACGGCTAAAGATCTTTCACATTAGGTCTCTACCATCTTTACATGTACAAACTGGTGTGTCCTATGCTGAGAATGCTGAGCTGCAAACCACTGAAGCTCTAGCTGTATTTATCTCAAGCAGAATTGTAAATCCCTCCCGCAGTTCCAAATCTTCTGCATTTCCAAACAATCTTTGCTTGTTTTTTTACTTTTATTTAGCTTCGTTCTGAAGAAAAGTATACCAACATGATGTTTACTTACCCATGCTTCTCTCTACAGAAACTCTAATTGTAAACCAATGTAGTCTGATTGAATTAGCCTATTATAGGTCACGTATGGGAGCATTTAGTTGTCCAAAACTTTATGCAGGTTTATTAATGTAGAGTGATTGGAAAACATAGGCGAGCTATGATATTGAAGTTTGAATTTCACAATTATGTGCCGCTTTTTTGTTCATCAAAAACTAAGATTCACTGAAGCTGTAACATATAAGACATGCAAATATCACTCATCGTTTCTTTTATTTAAACGCTAGTAAGGTTCTTTTTATTTTTAGGCTCTAAAGGCACAGTGGGAGGCAGAAGCTGAGACAAGCAGCCAAAGGTCTCTGTCAGAGATTCAAAACCGTCTAAATGCTGCCCAGACAGAGCTGATCAACACCCAGGCCTCCCTGACAGAAACAAGCAGAGCTCTTGTAGATGCCAGAGCTGCTCTGTCTGAGACCCAGTCTGAACTGCATGAGACCAAGGCCGCTCTAGAAGAGCAGCAAACTTCCAGTAAGGAGCAGGTTCAGAAACTAGAGGAAGACCTGAAACAAGCCTGGGCCGACAAAGAGGCTGCTGTCGGTAAGTTCTGTCAAACTATGGCCTGTAATCGGGTAGCGCCTTAAGTCGCGGGAATCCAGAGCGCCTTTACACCACATTCACCTATTCACCTAAATTATTTTTGTAGTTCCCAACTAAATTAAATTAATATTGCTTCAATTCTTGTAGAATAATGTTAAATGTAACCCCTCTATTAAAGTACGGATGTGAACAGATGATAACAGACATACAGAATTATTTTTATTTTCTTTCATTGTGGTATGATTTGGTCTTTTTGGGGTTTTTTTTCTCCATCACACCAAAATAAATTTATTTTTTTGGGAATTCTTAGGTTCTTTGCAGGAGTTGGTTTCTCGTCAGGAGACAGCCCTGCAGGAGAAAGAGCAGCAAGTATGCCACCTTGAGGAAAAAGAGCGACAACTGCAGCTGGAGGTCTGTTTACTTTCTAGGGATTTAAGCTCGAGTTGCATTTCATTTCTAATCTTAATAACACAACTTGATTGTCCTAAGGTCTGCCAGTCTTGGCCATCTAAATCTGCATTCAAATAATCTGGCTTATCTTTTAATAAAATAAAAATACGTTTGTGCTCCATTTCAGGTTTCGCATCTTCAGGAAGAGAAAGTCTTGCTTAAAAAGAGCTCAGAAGAAGAAGTAGGTCAGCTGTGGACCCAGCTGGAAAATATGAGAGCTAGCCGTCAAGAGCTGGGAGGTAAGATCATTATAGCAACCTGACATCTGCAGGACCGTGTTTTAATTTTCCATTTGCCTTGTTATTCTTCCCTGTAACCCTACTATAAACATTTTTAGCACATTTTAAAACCAGTGTTTGTGCTACCAGTACAGTTTAAAGACTCTTCTGTCTGTGTTGTGATCTTCCAGAGCTGAAGGAGCAGCTCATGGCACGCACATCTCAGGTCGATGACATTGAGCGTCTTAAGACGGAATTCAGTGAGCAGAAACAAGAAATCAAAGAGCTGCATGAGACTGAGCTGGAAAACCTCAGGAAGTATGAGAACATAAACACACACTGGGGCTAACACTAATCAGTATCAATACTTGCACAAGAAAAGTCAACTAAAAAATGAGCTGATCTTAGGTGATGCAGGTTAGAACCTTGCTTAAATATTATAAAAGTTTTGAAATCTTTTGGAAGCAGTAAAATTAATTAAATATAGTTTCAAATGAGTCAGAGTGTATCATTCTCCTTCCTTCTTGATTAGGCACATCAAACAGCAGCACCATTAAAAGTAGTCTTGTCTGTTTAACAAGTGCAAGAAAATGCAACTGCCTTTTTTTTATTTTATTTTTTTTATTAAACCTAAATATTTTTCAACAGATCCCCAACATTCTGAATTTAAAATCAGTAAAACCAACATCAGAGGAAGTAAATGTGTCTCCCCATCCCAGCATGCATTTAATCCAGAAACCTGTTTTGGGGGTTTTGCTTTATTTATGCCTTTTTGATAATTTATGCAAAAGTAAAATGGGGGGCAAGGCATTTTAAGAAAAAGTACATATCCATTTAAATGATTCATCCACTCTATATGTGTCAAGTTCATGGAGACTAAATTATCTCTTTAAAATCTGTAACCATCTGGTTTCACTCTTGGCCAGCCGTTATTAGGGGGGCTATGGAAAGATGTTTTTGATTCTTTCCTTCTTTGACATTCATTTTAAAAACAACAACCATGTCTTTTCACAAAGGAAGGGACAGTTCATCACATTTCAGAATCCATTCTGTAGGGGGATTATTTAAAATTTAGATACATAGAAATTTAAGACTCATACACAAAGCCCATACATAACTTCTAGATAATAATTAACCTGTCATTGATTATAGTTGATTTAAAAGACTGAAATGCAAAACTGTAAAAATCTGGTTTTAGCGACAAATAATAAAAAAACTTTTTTTTTTTTTGGACAAATATTGCTATATAATAAATCCTCCAATATTTTTAGCATTTTTTAAGCGTTGTTATATCTTAATACAGACAACAGCTCATGCCTTCTTTATAGTTAGATTGATTTTACTAACAGGGATGCTGTCATCATGCTTCTTTAGGTATTTCGAGAAGCGGTTGCACGCCTCAGAGGAGACCTACAAAGAGGAAATAGCTCTGCTCCAGCTGAGGCTAGTGGAAAGTGCCTTAGAGGAATCTGTAATGAAAACTGCAGATGACTGGTATGTTTGCTAGCCTTTGTATAGGAGGATGCCCTCTGTGCAGTTATGAAATGCCTGCAATTCATTTCTTTGGTCTCAGTTTCAGTGGCGTGCATCACGATCTGGCCGAGGACAAAGATGTAAAAGACGGACCTACTGGTCACACTGTAAGACTACATTTTGAAGACTCATGCTTTAATATTTCACTTGCAAGATGCGTTATTTTGTTGATTTTGTCTGATGCAGGAATTCCTGGAGAGCTTGAGACTTGAGCTGGAGGAGAAACATGCAAAGGACCTTTCCCAGCTAGAATCTTCTTTGGCTCTTTCTTATAAAGAAGAGCTGCAGCAGGTCAGGGACCATTTTATATCCTTGTAATATAAAGACTCATTAGTCACAGTTCTTAGATTCTTAACTTTCTTTCTTGTTTCTCAGGAGCGCTCTAACCTCACAGACCAATACTATGAAGAACTGCAAGAGATGAAGAGCCGTCATGCCCTTGAACTGGAGCAACTCCGAGCCAAGCTTTCTGAGAGTCATGTGCAAGGTACCTCACAATTACATTTTAACTAATTAATGCTCACTGTTGTCTTTAGATCTTAACCTTAAGGAAATCTTCTTGTAGATCTTACAAGAGTGCATTTGGAGGCAGACAGGCAGGTGGAGGTAAGAAAATAAAATTACAAGATATGCTTTTCATTTTATCAGCATCATTGGTTTTATTTCAGTTTTCTTTCTAAATAATCAGGTTGAGATAGAACAGAGATTGTGGCATCTCACTGAGGAGCTACAGACAAGGACGGCTATCATCCACAACCTTGAGAACAACCTTGCTGCCCTAAGTGAACAGCACAAATCCGATCTCGGTGAGGATAATCTGTTGAAACTGAGAGAAGAGCTTCAACGGAAACATGAAAACGAGATATCTGCTTTGAGGTCAGACTTTGAGAGGGAGAAGAAGTGCCTTGAAAAAGCTCTGGATGAAGAACGGGAGAAGAGAAAGTCCCTTGAAGTTGCTCTGGACGATGATGATAAAAGTGAGCTAACTTATACATGAGTTATGGATATTACATTTCAGATATTTTGTTTTTTTTTTTAAAAAGTTTGTCTTCCAGGCCAACAGCATCTAAAGACTCAGTATGACAACGAGCTGCAAAATGCAAAGGACTGCATGGCTGTGGAAATAAACGAGCTCAGAAATCAGCTTCTGGAGCAGAGTGAAGAGAAGCTCCGACTGGCACAGCAAAGGTCTGACATGGCTTTATCTATCGAAATTTTTGCTGTCTACCATTTACTTAGCCTTTTAAGATTTAATATAAGAAAAAATAAAGTTTTACATTAGTATTAAATTAGAAGTTATGAATAACTGATTAACTGGATCTCACTGTTAAAACCTACACCTAATGAATAGGTCACATCAGTATCCGATAAATGTATTTTTTTATCTCAAAAGTGATAGCTTTAAAGGGTAAATTCTTTAAATTGCATAAAAGGAAGGACAGGAATGTTGTTAGAAAATATATCCGGTCTCAAAATCCCAATGCTGCTATTTTTGTTTTAAACTGGATAATTTACATTAGATTTAGTTACTAAAGTGATTTTGTAATAAACTACTAATTACCAATATAATATGTTGCTCCATTAACTAACTAGACATTTATAAACTAATATAAAATCTAAGCATTGGTGAATAAATCTTCATTATTAAGTTTTTTTTTCTAGCTCATTAAATATTTACCTTAGTAGATGGGCTCTATCTGGAAATTCAAACTTGGTTTGCACTGACTAACTACATGTTGCCAGGTGTTCCTCCTTTAAATATTAGAGGGATCTACTTTCTTCTCCTGTCCTTTAACCTTGGTTTACCATCTGTGTCTCCAGGTTCCAAGAGGATAAATCAGCTTTGGAGAACCATTGGGCTCAGAGATATGAAAAGTCTATGGCAGAGCTGAATGATAAACATAAAGCTGAGCTCGAACATGAGAGGACAGCGCTCCTAAACAAGCACTCAGAAGAGATGAATGCACTGGATGCCAAACACAAAGCACAGCTAGATTCACTCAGTGCCTGTCACAGAGATCAGCTGGCAGCTACGCTTATTGAGCTTGAAAATAAGCATAAGGCTGAGCTTGTTGCTCTGGAATCAGCCCTCCAGTCTAAACTGGAAGCTGCTTTTCAGGAGACCAGTCAGGCGCAGTTGGAGGCTTTGGAAGCGGAATTGGTTAGCCGACACCAGGAAGAACGGGATGAGCTGGAAAAGAGGATGCTGGGGAATATGGACACTTTGGAGGCCACCTACTTAAAAGAAGTTCAAGTAAGTAAATGTTGGACTGTTGAAGTTAGATATTTTAAAATATTTTTACTTCATAGTTTAAAATTCTTTCCAGGCATTGCGTGATGAAATTAACCAGCTTGAAGAGAAGCATCACCAGGACCTGATTTCCAAGGCTTCAGAGCACAAGCAGCTGATGGAGTGTCAGGCTGCAGAGCAGCTGTCCATCAGGGAGGAGCTGAAGAGGGAGCTGGCTCAGGTACAGATGGAGAAGTTCAAGGCCATGGCTGCTGAGCTTACCCACGTTCACAAGGTAATAAAATACAGCCTCATTACTGAAGCTCGTTGTGTTAAAGAAATACAAAAAATACTGATTTGAGTAAATATATTTTTTCTTTTGCAGATGGAGCTGTCTGCTCAAAAAGAGACTTTAGATAAAGAACACTGCAAAGCCTTGGAAACACTGAAGCAGCAGGTACCGTTTCCCCTAAATGTATTTATGCAAAAAAAATAATCTTGAGTTAGATTATGAAATTTAGAGTCAGTCATTGACAGATAAAATGTAGATGAAGAGGAGAGAAGAAAAAAAATACTATTTTAAAGGAAGAGATATGTTGATATGTGGATTGTGCACAGATGTCGCAAAATGGATGGGAGCTTATGTGCATTGAGATTACTACCAAGTAGTTGTATACACAAAGCTTTTACACACTTTTACATAACAAAGTGGTGTGCAGATATTAGGCAGGGCTAAAGGTGCAGAACAGTACAAGTTAGTGGACAGTGTTGGCTCTGATGCATTTGGAGCTAGGATGAGGGTGTCTCCTCAGGTAGGCCATCACAGTTGTTCTAGTACCTTCTGTCAAAGGAAAGAGAGGGTTAGTGGAATGTGTTTGCTCTTGTTATCGTCTTCCTTTAAATCCGAGAGGAGATCCTAGAACCTGGAAAGAAGAGATGTTGCATGACCTGAGGGGCATAGGCTGTAGATTCTTGTTGTATAGTTTAGTACAGTTTAGCTTTTTTTCCTTTCAATGATGCTTGTTAGGACTGTATAACTTTCCCCCGGTAGAAGGTCTGCATACATAGTGTTGAAGTTCTCTTTGTAAGTTTACTGTTTCTTTTGATGAACTTTTTTAAACAGTGGTTTCCTTCTGAGAAGAATGCTGTAGTTTGCTCTACCTGCAGAAATGTTGCACCTCTGGTTCTCTACAGATTTTTCTGAAGTCGGTGACCAGCTCTTTTGTTTTGTTTTTTTTTATTCATCGATATTAAGAGTCAAGAACAAGGAACTGAGTACACATTCCTGAGGATCCCCCTAATGATTAATGATATTTGAGATTTTTTCAAGCAGCCATTTCACGAAAACATCATTAATACTAGTTACTGTTGTAATTGATATTGTTTTTGTTTTTTCTCTCAGGTTTTGGAACTGGAGCATCAACACAGCACTGCCCTGCAGGAGGTCTCACAGACTTACAACATTGAGAAGGACCAGCTTATCGAACAGCACCAAAATCAGCTTCAGGTGCGTGTTATGAATGAAAGAGCATGACATCATCTTAATATTTGAGAAATGCATTTTTTACAATCATCTATGCACCCAGAGTCCTGTAATGTGAATGCTTTTAAATGGTTGACATTACGGTCTTGTGTTGGTGACTCTTTCAGCCAGTTAGAGCAGAGATTACGCTAAAACATAGTTTATCCTCTGTAATGGCATGTTTGCTCAGTAGGTCCATTTAGTTTTTTTCTTTAAAGCTTTAGAATTGTTATCGCCTGTAAACTATGGTTTTGCAACTGGGTGGAACTGCAGGAGCTGAGGGGAACCTCTGAGCGTGAACTGGAGGCTTGTCGCAGGGAGCTTGAAGAAGAGGCAGCAAGACAAAAGCAGCACTTCCTAAAAGAGTTGGAGCTTCTCAAAGTTCAGTCTGAAGAGAGACTTCAGGACAGGATTAATCACCTCAAGGTAAACACTAAGCTGTTAGGTTAGAGATGAAACAGAAGAATCTCAGAAATGTTTAAAATGAAGTTTGTTTTTTTCGAATGTGGCATTCTTGTTGGAAATATTATGTAACGTTAAGATAATCCAGAGCTGTGTGCTTGTTGTGATGCTCTCTCTAAGCTCCAGCTGCACCAGTTCAATTGATGGTTCCCTTGGATTCTGTCCCATATAAGCTTTACTCAAACCCAGTTTCTCATAATCCCACCATAATGTGTGGAGAGACATCGACCTCCATCTGTCTCCAGTCTCAATCTCTGCTCTTCTGGGCAACATGTGCCCATTCATTCATCTAAACAGCAGATAAATAGGTTGGATAGGGGGTTATGAAACTTTTAATGCTAAAGGTTTAAAGGCAGGAAAGAGTGTTTTGTTTTTTTATTGTTTTTTTTTTTCTTATTTAAATCAAGCATGTTGACTATTTGAGATTTTTACTCAGTCAGATGGCTTAAGATCTAAGGGAAGACTACATTTTTTTTTCCCCCCCTGCATCTTCATATTCATGGACCTACATTGCTTCTTTCGTTAAAGACTGAATTTGAAGAACGCAAAGAGGCGGAGCTCGAAGGTTTGAGGCGGAGCTTGACATCTCAGCAACAGGAAAAGGAACAGAGCTACACAAGCAAAATGAGCCAGCTCACCACCCAGCTGCAGCAACTAGATGCTGTAGTTACCCAGGTACTGAAAACACTTGAACATAAAGTCCATCAGCTGTTGCACAGTTTGTTTGTTTGTTTTTTCTAATTTAGAAATAAAATCAACACTATAATACATTTCTAAATTATTACTAAATGAACAGTGAGGATGAGTGAGTTTATTAGATTTTTTGTAATACATTTTCAAAATTTGACTATTGGGGCATCTACTCTATACATTTTTCTACTTCTAATCTTTTTATTCTTTTTCTTATAATAATTTATAGGTGGATAAATATCAGCATTCTGTAGTTTGATTCGAATGGGTTTACACTGCTTCTTTGACATTTCAAATTATAAAGCATGGGTTTCGAAAACGGGGCATTTTAAAAGCACAGGTTTATGTTTGTTTTCTTTTAATTCCTATTCAGTTGTTCTAAAGGTTTGTGAAACATTTGGTTTAATTTGTTTGACGGTGGTTTGGTGCTATACTATTAAAAAATAAATAAATACGGTAAATATATATCCAAGGGATCTGTTATTTGTTTTTGCCAAATAGACATTTTATCGTGGCGATAAAGGAGTTTGTTTTGTACTGGTTTCCATGGCACCTTTTGCTTTTTAAAGTAAAATATTAACATACACTTTGGTTTCTGTGAGGTTGGCATAGAGAGCTTTAAGAGAGGAGGTGGAGGCTGTTGCCATGGCAGTGGCATTGTTTTATTGAGCCAGGTGGCTGCTTGAGATTAGCTAAGGAGGGAAAAGTAGAAACTATAGGGAAGATGTGGTGAAACCACAGGGGGAGACTGAAAAGGTAAGAGTAGCATCTACTGAGCATTTGGCTTTCAGATGGTTTAAAGTTCAACCTAACTGCACTGACTCGACACTTTAATTTTAAGAACTGGGTGATAATAATACTGTGTGCTTTTAACAATGTGTTTTTGCTAGTTTATTTTTTTCTACATTTTCACTTTTAAAGAGTTACTAATGGACATAAAAGATGAGGAGATACAACAAATATTGATATCTTCATTGTAATATGGCTGTGTCAGTCATTCAAAGGACTGTTTGAAGAGCAGGAATTGTTGGTGAATTCTGCACTGTATCATGCTAATGTAATATCCAAACGGTTGCTGGTAGCTGATGTTCACATCAGACTCAAATGGTGTGTTACCAGGCACAGTGAAGGAAGCCCAGCATTTATATCAACTGTATGATTTTGTTTTAGGTAGTGGAATAATTGGTAAACATTTCCCTCCTACAGCTGCGAGCAGAAATCGGGTGCTTGCAGGAGGAGTTGCGTGGAAAACGTTCAGAGATGGAGACGCTGGATACCCTTCTACAAAGAAGGGAACGAGAGAGTCAGGAGGGGAGCAACCTTCTCAAGATGCTCACTGATGACTTACAGGATGCTAAAGAGGAAAGGTAAGGTTTTTGTCATTTTACATTTCCTCTCAAGCTGTTTTTTTTTTAAATTGTTTTTAATGCCAGCACTGATTGTCTTTAGGGCAGCTTATTTTATCTTTCTCCCATTATGTGATTAAAAACACAATGCCAACAAATGTTATCCTAGTTTAAATGCCAACAATGTAAACCTTTTTTTTTTCCTCACAGGACCAAACTGTACAAATCAAATGAAAAGATGAGTAAAGTGCTGATGGAGATGCTGCGCAGCGTCATAGCTACTGAGGAGCTGATTGGACAAAAGATCAACACTAGACTCCAAAGAAATGAGCAAACGATACATAAAGCAGTGAATAGAGATCAAGAATCCGGTCAGTTGCTAGTCCGTATACTATTTAAATGGTTGGAATAACCTTTATGATTCGGGTTTTTGTGTTTTCAAGAATTAACTGCTTGAATCCATTTTTTTCTCACTTAATGTAAAGTTAAATAAACTTTTTCGTTTTCTAATTCATAGGTATTTCAGTCGCAGATTTGACCTCGGAGGACATGGAACTGACTCAAACGCTCTGTGAAAGTTTGCTAGTTACAGACTCCCAGATCAGTCCTGGAGGAGAAGAATCAGCTCTTAAAGCTTGCAGTAGATTACGTCTGGCAGTGGAGACGCTCCTGGATCTGCTCAACCAAGCTCATACACAGGTGAAGAGATGATAGTTATGGATGGAGCTATTTGCAAGCCTCTAAATGACGTCAGAGAAGCCTTCAAATTCACTCAGATTCTTTCCCAATCCTTCCAGTGAGATAAATGTATACTTTTACTTTTCCATCTTTTAAATTTGAACAATTTATATTTAGGGGCAATGAAGGATTTGAAAGTTGTTTTACAACATCACGAGTAGAAAGATCATTGCTACTTTGTGTAATTACTTTTTGACAACAGAATGGCACTTGACCTTATGTATTATCTCACAATCTTTGTGTATAAAGTTTGAAATGGTGAGTTTATTGTGCATCTTAAAACATTTCTATACTGGTTTGTTCTCCTGTTTGAGTTCAGTGCTCTCATTATACAAATAAATAGTTTTAATCAGGCTGATACCACTTAAATGGTTCCTATGTCCTCTAGAAGAGACACAGTCCCACAGCACTACAGCTCCTCCATATTTTAGTTTCTTAAGAGCCAAATCTTTGTTTAAATTCGACCAAAGAACTCTATTTAAGTTAGTCTAGTTGAGTTTAACAAAATCAATATGAAGAATGGTGGATTACAAATTTAAATATTTTGAGTTATTTAAATGTTTGGCATTGTGCTTAAACCTAAATAATGGTAATAATGATGCACATCACATGATGTTTATGCCTCTATTAACTTTTATTAGCTTCAGAAATTGTTGTGTTAATTTAAAAAATCCTGCAAGGTGTAATGCTACAGCAGTAAAATACATTTATCTAAAGGCTTTATTTTATTTATTATTTTTTTTTATTCTACACATTTTCAATGATTTCCAGCAAAAGTTTGGGCACCTAGAGCTGATTATCATATTTGTCTGCATGCTTCAGTTGGAGCAGACGTGCAGTGTTCATTTTACTCTGGAGGAAAAGTTCTCCCAGGGTCGAGAAGATGCCACCCAACTTCTTGAACAGCACAAGCTCCTGTTGAAGCAGCTGGATGACGAGGCCAGGCTGAAGAGTCGCCTCCAGCTGGAGCTCCACAAGGCGGAGGGTTAGCGATATATTTTTGTTAAAGGCTTGTTTATATTTTTGCAGAATGTCTTAATATTCAAACTGCTCTTTGTTTCCAGGGCTTCTGGAGGGCTATGTGGCTGAAAAAGCTGCCTTAGAGGAGTCTCTGCAGCAGAAAGAGGTGCAAGAAGAGAGGCTGGCAGAGGAGCTGGAAGGCCTGAAGGTGAAGCTGCATAAGATGCAGGGCATAAGTGCAGAGTTAGACAGCGTCAGGTTAAAGTATCAGGAGCTGACTGAGGAGCACGCCATTCTCCTGCGCCAGAAGGAGCATCTCTCTGGTGGACTTGGAGAGAGAGAGAAAGGTAAGCAGGATGGAGCGAAAATCTGGAATAAATGAAAAAGATGGTGGAAAATGTGTCTGCAGAAAACTGCACTGCCTCACTGAATCAGCCTGACCGTGCACTTATGTAATATCTGTGCTCAGATATGCCATCTCTGCGTTGGCCCTTTGGCTCAATTTAGATCCTGACGCAGGTTTGTGGGTCAGAGTGAAATGTGGCCGTGTGTTTTTGGGGGGGGAGTTCTTTGCAGTGTAAGGTTGCTGTGCCATTTGTTGTTTGTGTGGTTGATTGTATTAAAACAGCCTCTAATATATTATCTTGTTTTGTGTTAATCTAAAACCTGTACCTTTTACCCTTTTTCTTCTCTAAGCTTTGCTGGCAGAGACGGAGCGTCTGACCCAGGACAGGCTGGACTTACAGAGGCAGGCAGAAAAAGACCACAAGTCTCTGTCGCTGCGCCTCAGGAACCTGGAGAGAGAGCTGGAAGATCAGGAAACTAAAGGCCTGGAGAAAGACCTGCAGCATAAGACTCACGTTGAAGACCTTGGTCAGCGTGTCCAAGCGCTGGAGAAGCAGCTGAAATACGACAGACAGTTTATAGAGGTGACTTAATACAGGCTGTTATCTGATCCTGCTTTATTTTTTGTTTGCATCTTGAACAACCTTTCACATAATTTGTTTTAATGTGTGTAGGAGCAAGCAGTGGAGCGTGAACACGAGCGAGACGAGTTCCAGCAGGAGATCCGCAGGTTGGAAGCCGAGCTCAGACAGACAGGAAATGTAGATAACAAGGCACACAAGGTGAGAGCCAATCTAAGATTCCATTTTCTGATTTGGCTTAATGTTGATTGTCTCGCCTCATCTCCATGCTGTACCTTAGTTGTATTAGTCATGTTCAGCTATGCAAAGGCTGCATCTCATCCAGAATATTTTATAACAAAAAGTTTTGATTTGCATCATCTATTGGTCCACCTCCTACCCACTTTTTAAGGTGACTATTTAGGAAATGAGACTCAAATGAATTGGCTCAATCCAAGAACAGAAATCTACCAGGAGGTGGATCGAGGTTAATTTGCTTTATCTAGGATTGTTAGCTCGTTTAACTGTTGAATGGTACAAAGAATAATGAAGACCAAAATCGATGAAACAAAGAGGTAATGTTAGATCTATAAAAAAAAAAAATTAAATGGAGCACGGAAAGGCATCCAGCTCAGTAAAAATGTTATCAAACTGCTTCAAGCTGCTGATTTATATGTACTGAAAATGCATCTAAGGGTTTGCTGCTGCATTGAGATTTGAGCATTCTCAATGAATACATTTCAAACCATTTCACGGAGAAAATGAAGCAGGTATGTAATGCTGAATTGCATGCTGATAAATAGTTTACTTAGAAGATTAACAAGAGTAGTGGAGGATAATAGAAACTGGTTAAGACATGAACTCGATCTCTGCTTGTTTTGAGGCCTTAGCTCAGCATTGGTGAAATTAGTGACTTTGGGAATCGCTTTTTAATTTGACATTTAATTTTCATACAGTTTTAGTTAAACTTTTCAACTCGATACCGATACTAAGGAAAATATTCGATACTCGATACCATTTTCGATACCACAAGGATAAAAACAAAGACTCCAAAATTCCTTAGAAATATTTTCATTAATAGATAAATACAATAAAGGTTGTATGCTGTACACAATATTAAGCAAGCTTGATAAAAAAAACTTTTAAAATTAAAATTAAGTGTTCCTTCCTTGGCTATGCTTTTCACACATAACAATGACACTAGCCAAACCGGTTAAGAAACAGAAATAATTCTCAGCAGCTGCACCTGTTACAGAAAAAAGTCTGAAACTGAAAAATGCACAGAATTATTCTATCACACAGTGTTCTGACTGTGCAATGTCCTCTATTCTGCACTTTAGATGAATGACTGCTTAGGTGCCACTGGTGGTGGCACTGTATCGATACTTTTAAAAATGAGTATTGTATCCGGATACAACATTTTGGTATCTATACTTTTTTGAGTATCAATACTTTTGACAACCCTATAAGGAATCTCTACCAGTTTTGTATTTGGGTTGATGTTTAACTAACAGAAATAACCTACAAATAAATCGGCTTGAATTCTTATACTAAACCTTAAAGTTCTTTGATTTAGGGTTTAAATTTTATGTTTACAAATGTTTTTTCCAACTGGAATATAGTTAATAACTGATTAAAACAGACTGTATTTTGTTTGCCATTGAGCCTGACTATTGCTATTCGTTTGTTCCTGTGCTGAATGGATTGCTGTAGTTTGACGACTTGCTTCTGCAGGTATGAAATCTAATTGTAGTCTAGTTGTTTTCATTGCTTCTCTGACACTTATGCATGATTTTCCTTATTCCTTAGTAACCTCTTTAACATAATTCTGGTTTTCTCCCCCATCATTAGCTGTTAGAATTTTTCAGCATGTCTTTATTTTTATTGCTCTTGGGAATGGTTTAACTTATATCTATCATTAGCTGCAAATCTGGAATGGCTTGTGTAGCTTATTTGCTCATCATTTTTATTTATTTTTTTACTTTCTACATAAACTCTGATTTTGAGATAAAAAAAAATGGTCTCCCTGCAGGTGGAGAGTCTACAAGCTTTAATCAGAGATAAGACTGAGGACCATGCTTCATTACTTGAGGCCAATCAACAAGCGCAGCGCGATCTGGCAGAACGCAACGAGGAGATAGACAAACTAGCAGGAAGAATCCGAGAGCTGGAACAAGCTCTCCTCAACAGTGCTGAAAGCGTTAGAGCGGTCAACGAAATGGAGCAAGAGCTGCGCAAAGCCAAGCTAAGGGAACAGGAGCTCACACAAGTAAGAGCCGCTTCCTCACCGCTCACCAGTTATTACCACCTTTTTAATATCTTCTTTATCATGATATCATCACATAAAAACACCTATATCAACATAGTCTATCAGGGTCATATTTGCATGATAGTTTGGTGATAGGAAATTAACTACCTTTGCAAAAATAAGGACTGGAATTTGACTTGATTAAAAAAATAAAGAAAAACATCAAGAAACAAACTCTTACAGGTAGCCAGTGGGTCTGTGAACATCATTGTTTGTTCATTCTTCTCCTACCGGTTCTCATTTACATTTATTGCTTTTGACAGGACTTTTTTAACTCGTCACTTTGATGCATAAAAGCTATCCCCATGTAGCTCTGGCTGTTTGCTTAGTGGCTTTAGCAGCCTCCAACAGCATTTCTTCCAGATGTGTCTTTTCATTTGCTTCCTTCCATTTACTGCAACCAGCTTTCCTGTCCCTCAGTGAAGAAAAGCATCTGCGCACAGCATGATGCTGCCACCACCATGTCTCACACTATGTGAGGTGTTTCCTTATTAAGGCTAAAAAGTCCCAGTTTGGTCTCATCTGACCAGAACAGCTAATCTGCTATACAATATACATGACTGCTCTGGATTTTTATGTAAAGAGCTGATTATGAGACCTAGACACATTTTAAATTTTGCTTTCTACTTTCTACTTTTGCTGTAAACGTGACAGATGTGAATGTGTTTAAGGTTTTTGGGCAGGGCTCCATGTCAGGGGAAATAAATGGGTTTTCAGTGATCTCTGATCTCCTTTTCTTACAGGATAAGCTTGCTCTGGAGCAGCAGCAGCTGTCTAGCAGGCTCCAAATCTCAGCTTTGCAGTCTAAACTGGATGAGAAAAGGCACTGTTACCATGACAACACGCATGATCCCACCGATGAGCTTAGAGATGCCTTGGATGCAGCTCAGGAAAATCTACATCGCAAAGAGCAAGAGGTCTGTTACTCTATAAAACTGCTTTGTGGATTATTTAGATGTTGGACTGCAGCGCCACCCTTTGGTGGAAATGGGAAGTTTAGGATGTTTGTTTAAACTGTTTGGATCTTTTAGGTTGAGGTTTTGCTTAACCAGTTGGAAAATGTGCAGAGGGACTTAAACCAAAAAGAGGTTGAGCTGAAGCACCTCACCGCTCAGCTTGAAGTTCTTACCAATAACAATGTGGCACAAGTTGAGGAGCTTCAGAAGGAAATATCTACCCTCAAAGTAAGAACTGCTTTTCTTTTACAAAAGACTCCTTCTTTTGTTTGTTTTCTTTTTTCGAACTGGTTTACAATATAGTATTGAAGCTGTAAATGATCTGTGTGTGACTTTTAGGAGACTATTTCCTCCCTCACTGAGGTAAATGAAAACAAGGAACAAACTCGGGCAGCAGTGAATGAGGAGGAACCCCTCCCCGCAGCACTCCTTCAGGAGAAAAACCAGGAGATCGATCATCTTAACTGCGAGATTCAAAAACTTGAACAAGAACTGGAGAGTGAGAGGGACAGCAAAGTCAGGGTACATATTCTTGTGCTCTGCATCTTAGAAAGGCTTTTGCTGAGGCTTCCTGAAATTGTTTGCTTTTTCTTTACCGTTTATCTCAAAGGTTCTGGAGGTTGAGCTGGAGGATCTGCGAGCTCAGGTCGAGCATCTTAGATCTGAAATAACGAGGGTGCGTCAAGAAAAGCAGGAAGAAGAGGAGCGTCTTCATGAGGTCATCAGCACGCTGCAGGCTGAGCTCGCCACCCTGGCTCCTAATCTTCATGAAGTCAGTGACTCCCAGGATGGGGACAGCATCAATCCCTCACCTTCCCCCAGCCCTGAACCTCACACAGACAACCTCCAGGACAGGAGGGGAGGTCCGAACAGCCTGAAGCACGAAATCAGCCTCACGCATTCCACTTCTTCCTCTTCTCTTCACTCGCGTCTCAAAGCCGTTCAGAGTCAGTTTGAAACCGCTGTGGCAGAGAAAGAAGGACTGGAGCGCTTGTTGCTCATGCAGGAGGAAGAGTACAGGGCACAAGTGGAGGAGTTTGGAAAGAGACTTGGAGCTGAGAGGGGAAAGTTAGATGATACCCAGAGTCTCCTCAGGCTGAGGGAGACGGAGCTCGAGGAAGAGAAAGAGAAGCGAAAACTGTCAGAGGAGGAGAGGGACAGTTTGAAAGCTGCGGCCGAAGGAGTAAACGCAATGCGCAAAGAGAAAGCCCACCTGAACTCTGTTATCTCGGATTTGCAAAGAAGTGTACAAGAGCGAATGAGAGAGATTGAAGCTTTTAAAACAAAGGACCATGAGATGAAGCTAGAAATGGAGTTGCTCAGAGAAGCCAGCCTCACTTTTGAGAAGCAAGTCCAGGAAGTAAGAGCAGAAAACCTGGAGATGGAGAAAGTGGTTTCTGAGGCAAGAGAGAGGATCAAAACTCTGGAGACCGTTAAAGGAGAGCTTTCAGCAGAACGGGAGGCGCTCAGGAGAAGAGAGTGTCAGCTCCAGGAAGAAATCGAAAAACTTAGAAAAGAAGTAGGTTCAATGAGAGACCTTATCCAGGAGCTGACAGCTAAACTGAGAGAAAAGGAAACCGGCCAAGAGGAGGCTCAGACGGAGGTTCTGGTGAGTGTGATACAGCGCAAATCCAACAGCACCAATTAGGACTCTTGTCGTTCTCAAAGGATTTCCCCCCTTGCTGCCTCCCGTTTGTTAATGACCTTTTTATTTTTATCCAGGGTAATATAAATGTCAGATGGAGCCATTAGGAACCTTTTCACTAGGAAATTTGCTTTGCCGAAGACTTTTTTAAATCTTTAAAACTATTTATGACATACAGGTGCATGTCTGGACGCTGCAGACACATTCAATTTCAATCCCAATAGGAGCCTTTGATGGATTTAGCATTTTCTGTTACATTTATTAAAGAAGTTTTCTGGAGAAATAGACATGTTTAACCATTCTCTTGCAGTCAGAGGATTATATTTTAATTAGTCATCCCTAAAGCTAGTTTGGGTGTTATGCTGGTTCTAAATGTGTTGACTCTTTTAATGCTTCCACCTACCAGTGGCTGGTAGTGAACTTTTGCAGAATAGTGGTGTGAGAATTTCACTTCAGTCCCAACAAGATCACCGGGTTTGTTTCTCTTGAATTATAAAATTTAAAATAATTGTTCAACAGCTAAAAGAGAAGGCCCCATCTCATATATTTAATCAGATGACCTTAATGCCACATGCTGGACAGACATTGAATTATATTTATTAATGGAAGTGTACATTAGACAAAGCTGGATAAAAAAGCCAGTTTGTGTTATTGTGATTCTGAAGTGATGTGTTAGAAAAACAGAAGGAATTGTGGGGAAAATATTTCATTCCTTAATAGAATTACAGGAATTATCACAAAATGCCCCAAAATCCTAAAAAAGATGCTGATAAAGATCCTCTGTGATGCCCAGGATGGTATGAACTCAATATTATTTTAATGGCTTTGGAGCAAAGAATTATTGGGAGGAATAATTTTCAAGCAACTAACTTTAAAAGTTATTGTAGTCCTGTGTGCAAAATGGTACAATGATCCAAACAATGCTGAATTACAATAGAAAAAAAATCCCTTTATTGTCCTACAATGGTGAATTACTGAACAGTCTTTATGTGAAAGTTATGTTGGAAAGTTTGCAGAATCCCATTTTAACACTCCAGATCATTTGGATTTTCAAGGTTTGCTTAAATTGTAGTCTTCCACAAAAGTAGAGTTGCAGCGTTCAGAAAATTTTGTTTGATTCACACAAGTTGGAAAATTTTAGCTCATTTATTACAAACCTTGCTGATTATTTACTGGTTATTTCCCTGAAACAATTAATCATGATTAATTGATTATTAAGATATTAAGATCATAGTCGTGTAATTTGGTAATCGAACCTTCACCTAGAGTAATGGTACACCGTCTCTAGAATCATGCTATTTAATGAAAGAATAAGCTACCTACAGCACTAAACAACAAATATATACATGTTTCTATTAAGGATTAATAGCTGCTGTATTTATATTTATTTTGCCATTTATTATTTGGTTAAAATTTGCAATTAGTTTTTTTTTTATATTCCAAATATTTAGTTTTACAAATATTTTACTAAAAATAATTAACTAGATGCATTGGGGGAAAATAATCTCTAGATGAATCTATTATCAAAATAATCAATAAGTGCAGCCCTACTTCTCTCCTTCCTCACAGAGTGAGTAGCCTATTCCTCATTTTCATTTTATTTTCTTTTAAGCTTTAATTTTGTGGAAATTTTATACATCTGATGCCTGAAAACTTTTGATGGAGTGTTGTTATTTTGAAGGCATTGCAATTGTGGAGTCTTAAGAATCCTAATACATGTTCTTAGCCCAAATATCAGCTTCAGGAGGCCTTCATTCATAGTGTGCGATATGATGAAGCTTTTTACTTCCTCACATGCAGCTGTTAAAGCCTCTGCTTGCAGGATCACATCTGGTTATGGTTAGGGGCGTTGCTATTGTGACGCTGCAGACTGGAAACTTCCTCGGACAGAGCAAGCCTCTTTAAAATGAGGAAGAATGAGAGGAATCTATGCTAGCTCTTGGTTTTAATATGCTGCTGTTTTTTTATTTTAAGTTTGTTTTTCAATAGCTATGTTGTGACAGGATGTGGTAAGAACAGTTTCCTTTTAAAAGACTGTAATTTGTAGGTTTGGTTGCAGTGTCTGTTTTCTCGCCAGCTTTGCTGGCGTTAATGACTTTAGAGCAGTGCAGCTTTCTGGTGTAGGTATTCTGCCTGCTGTAGTTATTTGAACTGGAAACGCTGAGGGTGCAACAAACTGGCATTCATTAAGATGCCACAAAACATTTAACAAAAAGCAAAGGCTGTGAATAAAGACACTAGATGATTATAAAGCTCCCTTCTATTCCTTCCTCTCAGACCCATGCTGATGTGACGCTGGCCAAAGCAGACGCTGCTTTGAGGCAGAAGGAGTCAGAGTTTGCTGAGCTGAAGTCTGAGAACGAGGCTCTTAAGAGCGAGCTGGCTGCTGTGAAACAAGGGCTGAATACCATCTCAGAAAGTGCTGCAGAATCTCATGAGAACGGACAGGTGGGAGAACGAAAGGGGAACATTTGGTATCTTTTATAACCTGTGATTTTTGGACTCATTCTGATGAAGTTGTTTCTGTCCTTCAGCTCAAAGTTGATCTGGAAACTGAAAACCAGCGAATGAAGGCAGAGCTTGAACGTCTGCAGCATGACGTAATTATACAGGAAGAGGAACTAGCCTATCAGAGAAGAGAACTGGAACAGCTCCGTCAACAAGGAGACAGCGATCCTGACCATCAGGACTACCAGATCAAGGGTATACATAGCTTTGACCTGCAGAAATAATCAACATGTGCTTTTGTTTAGACACGTTTAAACAAAACACTGAAACCTTTTTTTTTTTTTTTTTGCAGATATTTCTCACCGTGCTTTTGAGGAGGTTCTTATAGTATCTAGAGACGAAGCCTCTCTGAGTTCCCCAGAGGTTTTGAGGAGACTCGAATGTTCTGAGGAGAGAATCAGAGAACGGTTCCACGCCTCGGTTCTGGATTCCCATCTGTCTGAGCTCAGTGGCCTGAACTGTACAAACCTGGATCCTTCCCAGGTTAAAACCTCTCCAAGGGTCATGATGGAGCCTCAACACTCCAGGACCATCACCCCAGATCCAACCTCACGCAGTTCTCACTCACCAGGCTCTTTGTCTGTGTCTGACCACTTCTCTGGGCTCGATTCAATGGATCCTGACAAAGTACGCCATCAAATATTTCTTAAATAATTTAAACTTTTCTTTTTAAAAGAAGAAATTTTTAATGTCTGTCTTGTATTCATCTGTTTTGCTTTGTTTTTTTTTCTGTGTTGGAGGAGTTGGAGGACCTTGACCTGACAGCGCCTCCATCTCCGCTTGGTTCCACCTCTTCCTTCTCAGCTCAGGAATGGAACAGCGACGGATACGGGAGCAGTAAGTAATGCTGTATCCTGCAGTTAGAAGCATAAACATACACCTCTGGTAGAGCTGGTTTTTGTGGAAAACAGACGGTCTTATAAAAAAAAAACAAAAAAAACCCCAACTTTAACTCACTAAGATGGTGCTAATTCTTTGCCCCCGAAATAACTAAATAATCAGGTGAGACTGAGTGTAAACCTTGAGCTGAATTTATTTATTTAGAGGAATAGAAATAAGTCTCTGTTGGAATATTTTCAGAGAAAAAAAAATCCTATTCTGCTAATAAAGTTAGTACAACGATTCTCATCTTCTTAAATTAGGTTAGTGTTGTTAACTGGGGAAAAACCATCCCTGCTTAAGATCCTGGACAGTCTGGGAAGGTGTGGAACTGGAAATATTTACCAACTCTTGATAATTATGCTGAGAATACAAACATGTTTTTGTTTTATTTTTATTTTATTTTTTTTACCATATTTTCTAACGATTGTCTAATTAATCATTTTGTCCATCATTTATCCATCTGATATATTCTTATCCATCTGTCAGTTTTTCAATACAACCATCTTTCTACCAGTAAATTAGAATATTATTATATTATGTACTTCAGTATTTCATAGGGGTGTCAACAATAATCGATTCAGCGATGCATTGCAATGCGGGGTATGCACGATTCCGCATCGATGCGGCAACGTGCCATAATCGATTATGTCACTGTTTATTTTCTGGCCTCAAATGGACAAGTTGTGAAGTGTCAATTACTTCCGGGGGGATACCAACAACAATCAAGATGGCTGAGGCGGAGGGAGGTGACCGCGATAGACGGGTAGGCCTAATTAAAAACGCACCAAAAGCTTGGAAAGCGGATATCTGGGCACATTTTGGATTTTACAAAGTCAATGGGATTTTGATGCATCGCAATGCATCGTAGAATCGAATCGAATCGTTACCTGGTGAATCGTAATCGAATCGTGAGGGCATGGCCAATGCACACCCCTAGTATTTCAATGTAAAAGTGACTCAATATAGTGTAAATGGACACCGCATTACGTGATTCAACAGATTCCCATTCATTTTTAGGCTTAAAGCTCTTATTCTGAAAATTTCAATATCAGACTTTTTTTTTTCTTTTTTTATTAAACCAGCAATGTTGGCTGACACAAAGCCATGTGTGTGAGCTGTGGATGTATTAAAGCTTGGATGTGGATGTTTTTACCATGAATTACTGCATAAGTGCAGCTCTGCATGGGGAGGTCAACTTGTAGCTCTAATGAGATGTTTAGGAATCCCAGGCGGCTTTTAAAAAGGTTCTCTTTTTTTTTTTTATGTTTCTGGGTTGAATGTTTTTGACAAGGCTTGATAAAAGCCACAAGCTTCCCTGGAATCAAAACGAACTTTGCTTTACAAACCTGTCACACTGTTGCTTGTCTAACTTTTTCACACAGACAGCTCTGGCTCACCAAAATGTGGAAGATTATAGTACCTTTGATACAGTATTTTTGCATTGTAAATCTATTTATTTAGGGTTATGTGGTTTTGTTTACTGTAAACTGTAATAATCGGAGTCAGTTCAAATTAGGGCTACAACTTACAATTATTTTGCAAATTTTTTCGAATAATCGAAAAGCAAAAGTTTCCTTAAAGAAGACTTTTTTAATGAAATTAAACCAGGTGAAATTTAAATGTTTTTACTTGAGAAATTCTGGATGGAGCATATTGACAGAACAAAAACATTTCTATCTTAAATGCAAAATGTTTAAATATTTTTTTTACAATCTTGGTATAATTCTAAATGGGTTGCTCAGTCACCTAAAGGCAAGTTTTAGATTATCTATACTCCAGTTAACGATTAATCGATTATTAAATTAGTTGATGAGTATTTTAAATAATTAATCAATCACGATTAACTTAATTGTTTCAGCCCTAGTTGTAATACTTTAAATTTGTCACTTGGTTTTTAATGAATCAGTGTTAAAATAATTTACGTTTCACTTCTGCACTCAGATTTCTTGAAATATGAAAACAGAAAAGAATCATTTGTAATGAGATTCTTCTATCTGCAGTGTGGAAGGTTATTTCACCTTCATCTAACAGACTTTCTATCCTCCTACTGTTCAGATGTGAGTTCAGAACTAGGAGCCAGACTGAGAGTGGAGCTGGAACAGACGGAGAGGCTGGATGCTCAATTTGTTCAGTATCTCCGCTGCAGAGGAATAAACCCCACAGCTAACACCGACAGCGCAGCAGGAAGTATGAGCTACAGCGATGACTTGCTGTCACCTGAGCTTCAGGTAGGCTTTGCTCCAACTGGAGTTTTGGACTGATAGTAAACCTGAGTTTAACTCGGTTCCTCTTTACTTCCTAAAGGGTCTGTTGAAAAAGGTTTACCAGGAAAGCTGCAGAATTCTCACACTGAGCCAACGCCGCAGCGCACCTTCGTCTCAACCCAACTCTTTGGAGCTGAAAGCTTTCTCCTCCAGTCAGACGCAGCATCACTTTGAACATGGTTCCAATCCACTGGACCGCAGTGATAATCCAGCCTCCTCCAACCCTCCCATGAGCTGGCAGCAGGAGAAGAGGGCATTGCAGGAGACCGTGGTCGCTCTTAGAGAACTGCTTTGTCGAATGGCACAAAGACAAACACAGGTGAGCTTCTGTGATTTAACATAAGTCATGTTTGGGGACAGATGGACTTTTGTTTGGAGTCTATAGTAGAAAAGTTTTATTTCTTAGAGATATTGTTATGGTTGAGTTTTTGTCATTCTGGTTGAAGAATTTTCTCTTTTTAAGACCGACTACAATGATGACAGCCTGCACAGAGGTCTGCTTCAGTCTGATGGACACGTTGAATCCCAGCTGAGAGCAGAGCTGGAGGAATACCAGAGGCAGCTGAAATGTGCCCGCGACGCTCTACAAGAGCATAAGAACAAAATACTTTCACTCAGGTAGATCTGAGACTTTTTTTTGTCTTTGTTTGATTCATGTTTGGAATTTATTGCACTGATTTGGTTAACTTTCTTTCCAGGCTGGCTGTGGAGGAGGCTGAGGAGGCGATGAGAGCAGAACAGGCCCGATTCCTGGAGCTTCAGCAGGAGCTGGATCAGGAGAGGGCTCTGATTCTCAGAAAGAACAAAGAGGAAGAGCAAAGGAGAGAGGTCAGGAAGGCATTTACTTCTTTTATTTACTTCTTTCATTTACTTCAGTTTCTAATAAATGAGGCCCAGTATGTCTGACTTGCGCTCCTTCTTATTCCTTCCCAGGCTGTTCAGGTTTCCTCTGAGAAGCTTAAGGGTGAGGTTATGTCTCTAAAGGCTCAAGTTGAGCAGGAGAAGGTGGCCTGCAGCAACCTGAGACAGGAGCTCCAAATCGAACAGTCCCGTAGCTCATTGTTAGAGAAGCGTTTTGAGGAGGCACAGAAAGAGCTGGAGGACGAACGCGAGCGTTTCATCCATAAACAAGAACTCATCCAGCAAGAAAAGACTCGGGTAGAACGCCTCCTGAATGAAGCCGAGTCTCGTTTGGCCGAAAGCCGCTCTAAGCTTGAAGAGGAGAGGCAGCATTTCTTCAGGCAGATGGGCGAACTGAGCCGCAGACACGAGTCTGATTCAGCAAAGGATCAGAAGTTCATCTCCGATCTACGCTCCCAGTTAGAGCAGGAGCGAAGGCAGGCGGAGGACCTGGCGACGGGGACAGACAAACTCCGGGCTGAGGTGATGCAAAGCAAGAGGAAATGGGAGGAAGATGATCGAATAAGGCTGGAAGAGCTTCAGAGGGAGAAAGAAGCTGTTGCCAGACATAGAGCTGCAACAGAGACCTTGAAGGAGCAAAAATGGGAGCTCAGCAGAACCCTGGAGATGGAACAACAGCAGTGCAGACGCCAAGAGGTGGAACTAGCCGAGCTGAAGGAGAGACTTCAACTGTTGAAGGAGAAGGAGAGGGAAAGAGATGAGCATCTGGAGAAACAGAGGAGAAAAGAAAGGGAGGAGCTGATGGAACGAGAAATGCGACAGGAGAGGACCAATAACAAACTTGTAAGTTTCCAGAAAGATTGTCTCCTCTGTTTACTACAAGGCAATAATTATTATTATTTTTGAAACCAAAGCTGGAGTTGGAGTTACTGAGGCGGCAAGACCAGCAGCGCATGCAGGAGCTGCAGCGGACCCTTTCAGATCTAGAAAGAGAGAAGAAGGAGATGGTTTCTCAGAGGCTGTCTGGAAAAACATCCAGCCTGCTGCAGCACAGAGCCATGTCCCCACAGGAGGATGGGGTCCTAGCAGGGGCCTCACAGCAGCACCAGCAGGTATTAAATGTGACCAGACTAAATTTGAGGTAATGACTAAAAACAGCCTTTATTTTTAGCACATTTAATCAAAAATGCATCTTTTCTCGCCACAGACTGCATCACCTTCATCCTCCAGTTTGCTGGAGAGGGTGCTGAAGGAGAACTCTGAGTTGACAGAGCAGGTGATGTCACTGAGTCAGGAAAAGGCCGTCTACAAAAGTAGACTGACCAGCCTGGAGAAACAGCTGCGACGCACAGAGTGCGATCTTGCCAAAGTCGCTACAGAAACAGAAAATCAACCCATCAGTGATGCAGGCAGCAACAGCAGGGTCAGGATTATTATTTTATCTCTGCCCTGGTTATAATAGAAATTTCAAAGACTACATGTTTGTAACGGCTTCTGTTCTGCTTTTAAAGCTGCAGCGTTATTACGAGCGCTACCTGCGTGCTGAGAGCTTCAGGAAAGCTCTGGTTTACCAGAAGCGATACCTAATCCTGCTGCTGGGAGGGTTCCAGGACTGCGAGCAGGCCACCCTGGCTCTCATCGCTCGTATGGGGGTGCGGCCCTCGCCTCCCCTCATAATGCAGCGGGGGCCCCTCTGGAGATTCAGGGCTGTGGTTCGGGTCGTGATAGCCGTGTCAAGGTGAGGCATAGATGAAGGATTTCATCTCTTTGAGCCAAATGGATGAAGAATAAAATGAGCTTTCAATTGTTTTTGTTTGTAGAATGAGGTTTCTGACCAGGAAATGGCAAAGAGCAATCAGAAGGGTGCCTGTCTCTGCGTCCGCCAATGGGCATGCTCCAGGTTAGAATACAAAAGTTGTTTTTGTTTTTTTTTGTGTCCTTTTTTTGTCCCACAGCTAAATGGTAGCCCAACAGATTTCCTTTCACAAGCAGACCATTATGGTTGTTGCCATAAGGTTCCACTTGGTACTTTTATATGAAACTTTATTGAAAATGATTTAGGTAGTAAAACTGAATACAACGGAGACAGAAAGGGAGGTGAGAAAGAAAGAGGGGATAAAAACTAAGGGTAAAGAGAGATGGAGGAGAGCAAATATCTGCTTCCATACCTGTATGAGAGGAGAGGAACGCATAACAGCAGAAAGAAGACAACAGACAACCAAAGTAAAAATCAAAAAACCTTCAAGAGCAGCGGGTATCCTTTCCATGGGTGTCGAAGTGGAAACCTATGGTGATACCACAATATTTGGGATGGTGTGTGTGTATATGTAGCTGCAGCTTTGTATTTAGCATCGGTGTGTATCTATGAACAACTGGAAACAAACCACTGTGGTGTGTATGCATGGGCATGCTTGTGTATAAAGGATTTTATAAAGCTTCTTTAAAAGGAAAATATGCTCAATAGCAGATGTGGGCAGCCCCAGACTCGCCCTACAGGGCCCACAACGATAAAGTGGCCATGCCAGCCCCAGATATCCAGAGACAAACCAGGTCACTGGGTGGCAGACATAGGGATGGCCTCACTCATCAAAGGGCAGATGAGAGTACCCGGAGGCCCACCCCAAGGGACAAAACCCCAAAGCTGCCCACTCCATGAGGTGCCCAAATCCAGAGAAAAACACCCAACCTGAACTGTAGACAGAAACACTTCACATCCATCCAGTCATATTCACACAATACCACCCTTAAGACGCGTTCCAACTGGATATGGTGAGTGTGGTGAATTTACATAGAATTCCTATACAAAGCATGATGGGAAGGGTGGTGAAGCAACCAGCGCTGATTCCCACATGTTAAAGATGTGTCACTGCTCTGCTCTCACCTCGTGGTACTAGATAAAGCTGAGGTGTTGTCAAACAGCAGCATGGAGAGAGCAGAGCGGTTATCGCTGAAGTTGAAACAAGCAAAAATTTTCTATGAAATCGCGGCACAGCAACTAATCAGGGACCGGTTGTAGGTGAAGCTTTTTTAACTCAAAATGGAATACAGATGAAATAGTGTTAACAAAGGTAGAAATAATAAATTCTCACAGGAGGTATTTAGGTGGCTTTAAAAAAATCTGTTTTTAGTCATATAAGGATTGTTCGTCATCCTCCCTTGCCTCCAGCACAGAAGCTGGTCTGCCAATGCCCAGCATTGATGCTTTCTGCGGCGGTAAATTTACAAGGAAGTCACACCAAATCTGAAAGTCATCCAGACGTAGCTCTGGATGAACCAAAGTGGATTTTCTTTTTTGGAATTTTCCCAATATTGATCGTCTCCCCAAGGCGATTCAAAATTTTGTCACTGTGAGTAGTTTAGTGGTAGTCAGTGATGTTAAGTTTCAAATGTGCTTTTATTGTGAAATAAAAGCAAACAGTGAGACCTTGGCTGGAAAGCTATGGGGTTGCCAGGGGAAACGGCACATCCACAGCTAAGGGTCTGGGTCTGCCGGGATGGTGATGTCATCGGCTGTGTTTAAAAATAAAACAACAAATCAGTTTTGCCTGTACAAATGAAGTACCACTGAAAAAGTAGGCTAGATTATTTTTTATTCATTTCGGAGTTTAATGGTGGATAGTTGTCTTTTGGTTGACCTAAATAAATAAGACTAATAAGACGTAAAATAAAAAAAAAATAAAAAACAATCGTAGCACAGATTATCTTTTTATATTTTTATTAATGACCGTTTTAAGTGCATTAACCTGCACCGACGAAGCACTAGCATTCAGTCTTTTTTTCTGAATGTTTTCACATCTGTGGGGTTTTAGCTTCACGCAGATGAAGCTCTTGCAATTTGATGACATTGTCCGGGGTGTAAACACTGCATATGATATGCAGAGCAGTGAACTACCTTCAAGGCTTGCAGAAATCACTGCAGACAATGAAAAATATTCCTACACTCTTTATACATACACTATGTACGTCTAGGGGCCAATCACCCCCTGAGGGGAGCAGCCCAAGAGACCCTGGAAGAGACCCCCAGTTCCCCCAGTGTAGGAAGGGGGCAGGCAGCTTGAGCTCTAAAGGGAAAAAAAAGTCCTTGGACCATGCAGGACTAAAGGGAGAAGAGCAGCAGTGTAGTGACGGTCTTGCCTCAAATACTAACCAATCCAGGCCCCCACATCCATATAGTCCTCTCATATCCATGGCTGCTAAGCAGTCCCAACCCAGGCAGTCCACCCTCCTAGGCCAGATATAGCACGCCAGCCACCTGAGCCCAGGCGCTTTGTTCTTTTCATGTGACGATGTATGAAGTTTTGTCCAAAGCACTATGTAAATGCCTTTTTTTTTCCTATAGCACGCCCTAAAGCAGAGTTCTTAAGACAGCAGCAGCCCAGAGGAAACCCCGACTCTGCGCAGAACAGAGACAGCGGTGACACCCAGAGAAACTGTCTGTCATCTCTGGTTCCACCTGGCAAATCCTCATTCAGACTGCAAAGAAGGTTTGGGGCCCTTTAAAGAAAACTTTTTTCTATTGTGTGATAAATTTGTTCGCACATATATGTATTTTTTTTTTTATTATTCGATTTGTTTGTCACGTATTACTCCTCTCCTGTGTTCTCTCTTCAGGCCGCACCTCAGTACTTCTCTAGCCTCTGCTCACTCTGCAGGAACATCCCAGGACCCGGAGCGGTCCCTGACAGAATATATCCATCATCTGGAGAAAGTACAGCAGCGCTTGGTTGGAGCTAGACCGGGTGAGTTGTGTCACTCCACTGCAGACTGAGCAGTAAAGGGCTTAAACGAGAAGAATTTCTGAACAACCTGCTCTGCAGCTTCGCACATCTCCTATATTTAGAGCACTTATTGTTGTAGTTTAAAAGAACAACCATTTGTCTTGCTTTGGGACATTAAACCATACAATAGTCCCCTCTGTTAAAAGAAGATGGGAGATGGTGACCTTTTTCATTTATAGGATAAATTATAGGAGACCACCACACAAAGCTAATCATCTGCTTTTTCTATGCAGGATTTCCACAGCTCATTAAAAATAATTAAAAGTCATTAAATTATTATTTTTTAAATCAAGGCCTGGTTGGCATTAAAATTCATTAAATGTGATTATTGTGGCATTTAAAATGCTTTATTTGAAAGAATTACATGTAATAAAAACAGTTTTGTCAGATATAACTGGTTCTGCGTGTTTGTGTGGAACTTTTTCCGGTTGATCGTAAAGCTTTATGTTCAATAAATAAGATCAAGGCAGAGAAAAAGCTAGAGAATGGGGAGTGCAAATTTCAACAAAAGTGGCTGGGAAACGAGGAATTCGGGACATGACTGCAGCCTGTCGGAGATAAAAATGACAACGGATTTTGCGTTATTTTTTATTTATATATATATATGTATATATATATATATATGTAATGTAATCGTAATCTCACTGTTACTTATTTCTAAACATAAAAGGATAATTTTTTTTCCTTTTTTAGATGTTAAACAATTTCAGAGCTCAGGTTGAACTGGGTCTGTAGTCCTTAAACTTTGTCTCTTTCAAATGCAGAGGGCCTAAAAGCATTTTAGTAATTTTTAATCACTAAAGGATTAAATATAGTTTTATGTTTTGTCAGTATCTAGTAATAGATGCTACACCCCTTATTTGAAAAAGTTTGTAAAGTGCAAGTTTTTAATTTGGAAATATATCATATTTATTAGTCTAGTTGACCAATAATTATTGGAGGGATTTAATTTGGTTTAATTATTTATGAAACCTTAGGTCAATAAAACCAGGTGTTACGTCCACACCAGACACAACATATTTAAGGACACGAGACAAAAGAATATGAGGGTTCAATCAGTTTTATTTTTAACTTCTCCACTTTTCTGATCTTTCCTAAAAGGGAAAAAGAAAAAAGATGGTCAGTTGGCCCTCAAATCCCGTGTCCCAGGAAAAAAAAAGGAATCGAAAAAGAAAAGAGAAACAAAACCTTCCAAAAAGTATTAACAGAAAGATGGACCTGGTGAGCCGGCAAAAAAGAACAAAACGGCACAGCCGAGGGCCAACCCTATACAGGGCCGTCGAAGCCTCAGCTGAAGCCGGACTAAGCAAAAAGAAAAAAAAGGGAAAAACCTATATTAAAGAAAAGATCGAAAACAGGACCACCGGTCCCACCAGGCCAAAATCGGGAAACCACAAAAAAATAAAAAAATTACCACATGGCAGCCTCGAGTCTCAGTTTCAGCCCGCTACCACGGGTCGAACTAAGGAGCGAGAAGAAAAACGGCGTTTCAACGGGGCGGAGTGGGGCGGACTGGGGCGTCTCACATTCTGAACGCCGGCCTATTTATAGGCGGGCCACAATGCCGCAAATTAACGTGATTAAATAAACAAAAGAAATAATAATGTGCCCGAAGCACATAACACCAAGTTATTGTTAAATCAGTTTCTTGTCACACTAATTATCTCTAAAACTTCAGTAGCTTTGTAATCCATTCGGCTGCCTCTGAATTAGTGGGGGATTTCATTTTAAATGTAGCTTAGTCAGTGTATGTGTGTTTAAGCCTGAATAAAAATGGCTTCCTAATAGGAATGTTGCGCTTTTGTTTTTAGGTTCATCTTCCTTCCAGTCTCACCCAAAGTAAACCAGCAACCGAAGACTGAATGTTGCCTTGCCTGGTAGCACCAAACAGACCCCGCCTTAATGCCTTGAAGGATGTTTATATTGTTTGTTGTTGCTATATGTTAATTTCACATGGTTTCTCTTAAATTATTTTTGTATTTTTAAATGTAAATTTTTATTTTGTTTGTCTGCCGATTTAGAATCCAGCTGAACCTTTTTTTTTTTCCTCCATGATTTTAAATAGGACCTTTTTTGTCTTCTATTCCTGACAGTGATCCGGTATGTTGCCATATCTGCTCTCATTTTATACTGAAACTGAGAGATAAACACGCTATGCTGAGGAAGCAGATCTTTGTATAAAGACATGTATAATCTGATGTTTGTTTTTACTTGAACTTGAATTAAAGAAGACACTATGATCTCTGTATATACGCTGAACATTTCCTTTAGATCTTGATGACATATTTGTTTTTAAACCCAAAGTATACATTGAGATTAAACTGATCACATTGACACGCATGAAACTACTCCCCTGTTTTATTCTAGGATACCTAATTTCTGCTTTTTTACATTTTAGCATCTGATAGCTGGTACCAATGTCAGCAAGCATCCACAGTTATAAGAACAGTCTGTCTTAAACCCATAAGGTTCCATGTTGAGTTTTTTATCAGTGTTTCTAAAGCCGATTATCAGTTGTTGCTTTTAAACCATTTTTTATTCTATTTTTAATATTTGTAATGGTGGAATGAAGCTATTTAAATTTTCCCATACCCAGAAGTTCTGGGCGAGAAGGAGGAGTAGCAACAATCTTTCAGTCTGACTTACTGATTACTCCCAAAACAGTTAATACCTACAACTCTTTTGAACATTTAACCCTTAATTTCCCTGATCCAAATTTCAAGGCAAGAAAACCTCTTCTTTTTGTAACTTTGTATCGTCCACCAGGTCCTTACTCTGAATTTTTAGATGAGTTTTCAGAGTTCCTTTCTGATTTGGTATTAAATACTGACAGGGTCATCATAGTGGGAGATTTTAACATCCATGCTGACATTGAAGGCGATAGCTTAAGAGCAGCCTTTAATGCTATCTTAGACACTATTGGTTTTGTTCAAAATGTGAATAGTCCCACACATTCTCATCTTCATACTTTGGATCTTGTGCTTACATACGGCATAGAATGTGCAGAAATAACAGTATTTCCTCACAACCCTGTCCTTTCTGACCACTTTCTAATAACCTTCAGGATTACTTTAATAGAGTTCTCCTCCCCCAAAAGAAGGTTCAATTTTAGTAGATCTTTATCAGATATTGCAGTTATACATTTTAAAGAATCTGCTTCATTTTCTGTTTCCTCTGTGTCGCTGAGCAGTGCTGCAGAGTGCAAAAGCTTAGCTTATTCCCCTTCACAGGTTGATGATTTTGTTGATGACGTTGCTAGTTCTCTGCGTACTGCCTTAGACAATGCAGCTCTTTTGAAAATGAAAACCGTTAAAAATAGAAAGCTTGCTCCTTGGTTTAATGCAGAGCTGTGCACTTTGAAGCAAAATGCTAGGAAACTGGAGAGAAAATATCGCTCCACAGGCCTGCGGGAGTCCTTCCTAGTCCAGAAAAATGGTTTACTGCTGTATAAGAGGACCCCTTTGTAAAGCAAGAGCAGCATACTTCTCCTCATTAATAGAGGAGAATAAGAATAATCCTAGATTTCTTTTTAATACAGTTGCCAAACTCACCCAGAGCCATAGCTCTGTTGAACCGTCCATTCCACCTGCTCTTAGCAGCAATGATTTTATGGGATTCTTTATAAATAAGATTGATCTTATTAAAAATAAGATCATAAGCACTTCTCTATCCGCGATTGTATCTGAGGTAGTCATGGAATCTGAACCGGGTTTTGATTGCTTTAATCCAGTTGAACTTTCTGAGTTAGCAAAATTATTGTCTTCATCTAAGCCTTCAACTTGTATGTTAGATCCTGTTCCAACCAGGTTATTTAAGGAGGTATTCCCTTTGATCTCCTCCTCCATTTTAGATGTGATTAATCTATCTCTGTTACATGGATATGTACCTAAGGCTTTTAAGGTTGCTGTAATTAAACCTCTGCTTAAGAAACAGTCTCTTGACCCAGATGACTTGGTCAATTATAGACCTATATCCAATCTTCCTTTCTTATCTAAAATTCTTGAGAAAGTAGTTGCCAAAAAAGTTTGCGATCACTTACACCATAATTAGCTTTTTGAAGAGTTTCAGTCTGGCTTTAGAGCTCATCATAGCACTGAAACAGCTCTGGTGAAAGTCACTAATGATATTCTCATGGCCTCAGATAATGGACTTGTATCAGTGCTCGTCCTGTTGGATCTCAGTGCTGCATTTGATACAGTTGACCATAATATTCTTTTAGAAAGACTTGAATATTTTGTTGGAATTAAAGAAACAGCGCTAGACTGGTTTAAGTCTTATCTATCTGATCGAATTCAGTTTGTTCATGTTAATGACAGATCTTCAACATGCTCAAGGGTTACCTGTGGGGTACCAAAGGGACCAATTCTCTTTACTTTATACATGCTCCCAATTGGTAGAATCATTAGACAGCATGGGATTAATTTTCACTGTTATGCTGATGATACCCAGCTATATCTGTCTATAAATCCCATTACATAAATTACAGGCATGTCTTGAAGACATAAAAACCTGAATGACTCTTAACTTTCTCCTTCTGAATGCAGACAAAACAGAAGTTATAGTCTTTGGGCCAGAGTCTTTGAAAAAGAAGCTGATTAGTCAGTCACTTCATTTGGATGGGATTAAACTGATTTCAGATAATAAAGTAAAAAATCTTGGTGTTGTTTTTGATCAGGACCTGTCATTTAAATCCCATATCGAAGAGGTTTCTAGAATTTCCTTCTTTCATCTGAGGAATATTGCAAAAATTAGAAATATCCTGTCCAGGGGTGATGCTGAGAAACTAGTCCATGCATTTGTTACTTCAAGGCTGGACTATTGTAATTCTTTACTATCAGGAAGTCCACAAACTGTCGTTAAAAGTCTTCAGCTGATCCAAAATGCTGCAGCCAGAGTTCTGATGAAAATTTAAAAGAGAGATCATATCTCTCCTATCCTGGCTTCTCTTCATTGGCTTCCTGTTAAATGCAGAATAGAATTTAAAATCCTCCTTCTCACATATAAAGCCTTAAATGGCCAAGCTCCATCTTATATCAGAGATCTGATTGTTCCTTATGTTCCTAACAGAGCACTTCACTCTCAGTCTGCAGGTTTACTAGTGGTTCCTAGAATTTCTAAAAGTAGAATGGGAGGCAGATCTTTTAGTTATCAGGCTCCTCTCATGTGGAACCAACTACCAGTTTTAGTCCGTGAGGCAGACACCCTGTCTACTTTTAAGGCTAGGCTTAAAACTTTCCTTTTTGATAAAGCTTATAGTTAGAGTGGCTCAGGTGATCCTGAGCTATCTCTATAGTTATGCTGCTATAGGTTTAGACTTTTGGAGGACATAGGGACCCCCATTTCATCATTCTACTTCATTCTCTCTCTATTCTCCTATTCTGCAGAATCTGTTAGTTTAATCTCTGACGTTCTGCTCTCTGCTTTTCCTCAGAGTAGCTTTGCCTCGTCTGTTCCTGTTTGGCTGTGACGCCATCCTGGAGAAAAACATCAGCTGTGCTGCTTCCATCAACACCCTTGTTTATAGATGCTGGAGATCGGCCTGTTTTCCAGTGCGGTCCTGTTTCTCTGACCGTGACTGACTGCATGTGCTGTCTTCGTCCTCTGGCATGGGAGCTGGCTCGGAGCTCGTCTGCCTGGCTGTGTGTTTCCTGGACGGGGCCGCCTTTTGCAGCTGTTTTTTGTATATCTGCTTCTGTCTCCTTGAACCCCAGTCGGCCTTGGCAGATGGCCGCTCACAGTGAGCCTGGTTCTGCTGGAGGTTTCTTCCTGTTAAAAGGGAGTTTTTCCTCTCCACTGTCGCTACAAGCATGCTTAGTGTGAGGGATTGTATTTGAGTCAATGAGTCAATGCAATCAACTGGTTTTCCTTAGATAGAACACTTTGAATCAATTTGACTGCATGATTTGGTTGAACTGTAAAGTGCCTTGAGATGACATGTGTTGTGAATTTGGCGCTTTATAAATGAACGGAACTGAATTGAATTGAAATTTTCAACACTGCTCCCTAAGTTGGTATGTAGAACTTTTTATTCTTAGATCATCGTCGGCTTGTTTGAAGATGTGGCTCATAACTGAATCATTTGATAGTTGAAATCAATATAAAAACATAAAAGGGGAATTTTTCACTTCCATGCTGCAACTGATACAGCTTACATTTGAGAAAAAGGACTAATGGGGATAAAAGGTAAAAGATAAAACATTTCCTAAGTGTCAATTTTGACATCTAAAATGCATGTTAGTTTTTTAGATGAAAATATAAATGATCTTTTCATCAAAGATATTTAGACTTAGATTTATTTTGTCATTTTGTATACACGTGTTAACAAAAATAAATTAAGAACAGCTCTAGACAATTTTTTTTTTAAAGTGCAGCCTTGATAAGGTAAGCAGTGATAAAAAAAAACATTGTGATGAAAAACAGTGAGAGCGAGGGCAACAGTGGTACAAACTCCATCTCAGTGCAGCCCTTTTCTTTTTGTTTTTTTGCTTGAAATTAAGTATTTTTTTAGCATCACTATTCTTTTTCGATACCCAAGTGAAGCCTGGTAATGTGCATAAATATAGTGTGTATGTATGTATGACCCCTGTGTTTCACAGAAGCTGACATGACAGAAATATTGATATAAAAAATAAAAAATTATCTGGCTAAGTGAACAGGGTGAAGGAAAACTAAGGTTTTTTCTTTTGATGCCAGATTTAACAACATCTGCTTGAGTCTCTTGGTCCTTGAAAAAGTTGAATTTCACCTCAGAGTAATATTGATCCCATAATGGCTCCATTTTACTGTATGACCACAATAGTAGTGTTGTTGGACTCTAGTCATTTACCCTTAATATTCTTTGAAATAGATCGAAAGATCGTACCTACATTAGAAATGATCCTTCTGATTAAAGGTTTTTTTTCCTGTTGCTTGGTTATTTTTCTGAAAGATGAAACAATTGCTTTGTCGATGATCTCACTTTCAAAAAACATGAACGTCAACACCTGGTCGGATGGACAGCCAAAGCGCTTATGTATGTCACAGAAAACCTCCTTGCTGAGGCTGTTCAGGCATTTCTCTTCCATTTCAAATTTCTGTCTTTTAACTTCTGACCAGAAGTTTTCAACGAGACGTTCTTCCAGGTCTCTGAGTGCATCGTCACAGAAAACGATGTTTGACTTACTCAAGCCTTGTTTGATTAGCTCCCTTGTGAGAAGTCTTATCCCGTGTTTTCCCTCTTGAGATTTAGTGGATTCTGTTTCCTGCTGGGATTCCTCCTGCTGTGGTCGATTAAGACTCTTGGGTACCTTTGTAGGCTGATTTCTAGCTGCCTGAACCTGCTGTCGTTCAAGCATCCTCACCACAAATTCTTGGATCATGTTGGTAAAAAACATATTCAAAGATTTATCTCTGAAACGTTGATGGAGAATCTGCACCGGGTCTTGCATATCAGCTTTGGGATTGGACATGGATACCAAATGTTTTATGAAGAATACCAGAAACATCTTTTGATTCTCAGATTGGAAGTTTTCATTAATGCCCATTACTTGAGCAAAGGCTGAAGGAATGCTGTTTCCGATGGTTTTAATTTCCTCCAATCTGAACATGCGTTTCTTCATCTGTGGGGAAAGCCTATGCAGAAGGATATGAGTGATTCTTATCAGCAGTTTTTTGATCAAGCGTGTGTTATTTGTACCTGGATCCCCAGACTTCATCTTCTCTAATGAGATGCTTCTGAGAAATTCCCTGATTTCAGGTTTTAATTCCTCTTCTGTTATACTCTTAACTATAAACGCAGTGGTGGCTATGTTACCCATGTTGCTGGCCTGAGCACTAGCTGTTGAGTGGAGAGAGACTGGCTATCTATTGGTACAACGAGTATAGAAGGAATGACGTCACAAAGGCATCAAAGAGGGGGCGTGGGCGGGAAGGACGTCAGAATTCCGTTTAAACCAAAACAATTTATTTGATCTTTTTTTCATATGTTTAAACTAAGGTATTGTATTGCTTTTAAGGGGAAACTGTTTGTGAACACGCTTATTTTTTAAGCAGAAAAACGATCAGAAAAATTAAACTTACTACAAAAACAAGCTTTTTACCAGAGAGCGCGGTTTTCCCCCCTCCCTCCCTCTGTGCTCGTAGCTCTCCAGTTAGATCGACCCGGTATGGCAGGCCATTTACATATTTATTCAAGCTAATAAATGTCAATATGGCTTCCCATACCGGCAGACGTTAGTAAAGCAACAGCAGGGCCGCTAAACTATGAGAACTTACTTTTATTCATTCATTTGGTTAAATTCGATCTTTATTAAAAACAAATGATCAGGCTTTTGTTAGAATAGAAAATCCCTTTATTGTCTCACAATGGGAAAATTCTGGTGTTTACAGCAGCAAAAATATTATAGAAAAAATGGTCACACAAATGTGGACCTTAGAAAAGTGTATAAGAATAACATAATAGTGAAGATTAAAATAAAAGCAAATAAAAATACTGTACTGTAAAATGTTTTATTATAAATACTGTGCACCTGGAGAAAAAATAACCAATCTACAGCTGTGGACATTGTTACAGTAATGGATATTTGAAAATAGCAACATGAGACATGTGCAAAATGACAGCAGCATGTTATTTTATTGACTAAGGTAGAAGCTGCAAAATCGATGCAACATTTTATTGAGGTTGCATTCATGCTCATAATATAATAAATGACCCCTCACACCCCCAACATGGACTGTTTTCCCTGCTGCCCTCTGGGAAGAGACTTTGAAGCATCTGATGCAGGTCCATCAGATTCCAGAACTGTTTCTTCACCGCTGCCATTAGACTGCTATAAAATGGGTTATAAAAAAAAAAAAAAAAAAAAAAAAAAAAAAAAAAACTTTAATGTTGGAACTGTAACTATACAGTCATATGTCATCATTGTTTTTCATCACAATGTTTTTATCACTGCTTGCTTACCTGCACTTTAAGAAATTATATAGTCTAGAGAGCTGTACTTAACGAAATTGCTTTTTTTTTTACACTTGTGTGTACAAAATGACAAAATAAAATCTGTCTTAGAATAAAAAATTTAGAGAACGGAGTATTAAAAGAATTTAAACGAAAGATTGAGATAGGGAGGAAATTGGGGTAGTTAATAAAGCATTGTTTTTATTTTTACATTACACAAAATAAAAAAAAGAATAGTACTTCGAACCTTAAAGCTACACACTCATGTACAGTAGGTGGCGGTATGCACCTATAAGTTCCTTACGGTCCGCCATAATAGAAAATAATAAGAAGAAGCTACACACTCCTGTACAGTAGGTGGCGGTATGCACCCACAAGTTGTTTGCAATCCGATACTAAAACGAACGAAGAAGAACGGTTTCAACACAAACGCTTTAACAAACGTTAAGCTAAAGGCACCGTTAGCAGCTGTGTCGTAGTTTTGATGTTTGAGGTTTCTACCTGTGGGGAATAGTCCTGGCCCGTGCAGAAGACCTCGTTTCGTTTTTGTCGTATTTGTCTGGGATGTATGGATGGATGGTTGACGGAATATCGTCTCTGTTTGAGCCCATTACCAGGCAACACCATACCGAGTGGCCCGCGAAAAGAAGGGGCAGCGGAGAGGGAGCACGGCGGCAGGACAGCAACGGAAGACCGGCTAAACGGAACTATCAGAGGTCGGTGTTCTGATAGAAAGAGGTATTCTGGTCGCACTGAAATTCCCCAGTGAATTTATTTCAGGTTTGTTTACTAAAAGCTTATGGTTCCGGGTAAAATTAGCCAAAGCAGCTACAAATATTTATATAAACTTTTAAATATTCCTAATCTGAGGCAACTAGCTAATGGCCTCTATGTGCCATGAAGACACTAATGGCCTAAATATTGAATACAGGTGAGTTGAAGCAGAGGTGGATCTGACATCAGTTAGCTAAGAGCTAAGACCTTGCTCTTTGCTAACTCCGCTTTTTTAAATATATTTTTTTCTTTTATTTGCAATTTATTCAAGTTTAACCTTTTATTTATTATGTATTAGACTTTTGAAGGACCCAATCATGTCAAATAGTTAAGGTTGCTGATACAGCTAACCTTATACTGTATTTATGTAAAATATCCTAGTATTTGATAGCATTCTTAATACTTTAAACCTTGGTAGATGTAAATGTAGAATTGACAACTGGTTGGGAAGTAACCCTTTAGAAATTAGATCTTTAAAAGATGAAAAAGAGTTCTCTGGAACCTGTTGTTAGGAAATAAAATAGTTACTGAAGATGTAATGCGAAATGATTAGATGATGAGGAATATCTTGCTCAAATTAGAAAATAAAGGAAATTGAAAATAGTGACTCAATTGTAGATGAAATCAACATTTCTGAAGTTTGAAATAAGAGAATTTTACTTTTCAGTTTTGTTTAGTTCTAAACATAAGGAATTTAAAGAGGATCTTTTTGAGTAAAATCGTTAAATTCTGCATTAAACCTACTTTAGGTCCTGAAGGAAGAAAAATCAGCTTTATTTAAATAAAGACCATAGTGCCTTTATAAGATGTAGTGCATAATGGATAGAGGCGGGTGATAATAACTCGTAATTTATCTAAATTAGAACAAAACTGATAAACTTATAATATAATTTCAGGTCTTATTATAAATGGAGAAGAATGTAAAGATCCTAATTTGTTAGAGATGGAAGTTTCTACCTTTTATCCTAAACTTTATTTGGCTAATTGCGCTGAAGTAGATTGTGACCACTTTTTCAATGATCTGCTTTGATTCCTAAGATTGACTCATCTTTAAAACTATATCCAATGCCGAACTTAAAATTGAAGAGCTAGATACTCCAATAAAAAAATCGGTGATAAATCCCCCAGATCGAATGGCTTTACTGTTTTTTTGGATCAATATAAGGAAATTATTATTTAATGCTTTATTAGAATGTAATGATAAAGAAGAATTGGTGACAACTATGAAGCAAGGTTTGGTTTTTCTCATCCCAGAACCAGGAAAAGACAAGAGGATTATAGACAACTTCAGACCCACCACTCTTTTGAATGCTGATTATAAACTATTTTCTAGCTGTATTGAAGCCAGACTTAAAAAGGGCATTTCAGATATAATTGGTGAAACTCAATCAGGTTTTTTTTTAAAGAAGAACCATTCATAATAATAGGCTGGTTTTAGACTGGTTCATTAGAATAATTTGATTACTGACAGTGGGTTTATTTTGTTTTTAGATTTGTACATTTGATACTGTTGACGACTCATTTATCTTGAAAACTCCAGCACACTTTGGATTTGTAAAAAAAAAAAATCAGGAACCTTATTAAAATGAATAATCGCGAAATAAACAGCTCTGTAATATTAAGTCATGAGATGTGTAATAGGTTCCACTTTAATACATCTTTCCCGCTGGCCAAAAAACCTGTTTAAACCCGGGAACATTTGGCTTTTAGTGGCAGTGGGAACAGCTCACTGACGAGTGTCTACCAGGGTCAAACGACTCTAAGAGCGACCCGCTTTATAATGAACTCGGCTCTTATCGACTTGCTGTAGGAACATCAGACCTTGGTTGACAAGCTATATTACATGACACCATTGAACATAATATCGTATGGATGTCAACACACCACACCAGCCATGTTTGATCTAACAACCCGAAACGACTCTGTTTACATTCGATGAACATGGCACAGCTCTGGGAAGAGAGATTTGGAAACGTAATAGACCAAAACGACAAAGCACACTTACTATGCTCTGGCTTCCTTGCATGTTGCTCTTCATTGTTTACTTTCCTGATTTCTGTTGCACTGGTGACATCATCAACGCTAACAAAACGTTGTGGTGTCACCAGACACGCACCCGTGGGGTACAGAGGCCATGCAGCTTGCCAGTGAAGAGTTAGACCCAGCTTTTTTGCCAATGGGAAGGTAGCCAAATGCTGATTGTTAGCAGGTTTAAAAGCATGCACAAACTTTTCAGACGTTAGAGGTTGGAGGCATTCCTCAGGGCTGTGGAAGTTCATGATTATTATTCATTAATGGTTGCAGAGATCCTGTCAATATTAATTAAAAACAGTGGTATAGCTGGAATTGAGCTATTGGACAAATGTATAACAATTAGACAACGATGTCAGCCTTTTATTGAGAAATGTAGGAGAAATTCCTTTAGCACTCCAATTTATGAAGTTATTTTCTAAAGCCTCTGGTCTTTAGTTAAATTTAAACAAATGTGAAATTTTTCCTTTGAAAGACCATCCATTACAATCACTATTTAACCTTAATATTAAAGATGGGATAAATGATGGGAAAAATATTTGGGATTTATTACAAAAGACAGGACGTCCTCCACTAACATTAATATTTTCAATAATATTGAAAAATGTAAATCGATGGTAGGGCCGAAACAGCAAATAAGATTAATCGATTATTGAAATAATGGTCAACTAATTCATTAATTGATTGACTGTTAACTGGAGTATAGAACCTTTAAAACATGCCTTTAGCTGACAGAGCAACCCACTTAGAGCGGTAATTATGCCAAAATTGTGAAGAAGAGAAAAAAAATTCCATAAAAAAAAAACCTTTTCAACTGTCAATAAGCTTTACCCAGAACTCCAAGTCGAAAAGTTTTAGTTTCTCCTGGTTTTATTCTGTAAATAATCTACTTTAAGGAAACTTTCGCTGTCCGATTATTAAGCAAATAATCGAAAAAATATTGGTCAGATTACTTTATTATCAAAATAATTGTTTGTTGCACCCCTAATCAATTCTTAATCATTGGCTACAGAGAGAAAATACGTATTTGTTAATTTATGAAATAAGAACATCATTGTTTGTTTTTGTTTTTTTCTATGGTTACAGTGTACATGCTGCAGATAGCGTTTGTCAGACTGACCCAGTGGAGACAAAACGACCCAGACGAGGTGTGTTGGACTCCCCTTATTCAAAAAGTCCTCTTAGCTTGTATTTGAGTAGTTGTTTACTTGTGATGTTCTATTTTTAAGATGTTGTGATCAGCTTTGTAAAGAAGACGGCAGCAGGTATAGCAGGTCTACTTAGGCTGCGGAAACCGCTGCAAGCAAAGTGGGAAAATCCAAACAAGAATGAAGAAACACAGGTGGGCTTATGGCTGCTTCAAGTGCTTCATTATGGTTTGTAGATATGGATGATCATTGTTTTTTTGTTTAAAGACTGAGATTTGAAATGAGGACAGATTGAAACATGGATCATAGCTTTGCATTTTAAGACTAAATAATTATGTAATGGAAGTAGTCCTGTTGAGATGTAGTAGAAGTAGTATTGGTCAAAATCAAGTGTTTTTGCCGTTCTTATGCTTTTGAAGTTCTTAGCTGCTTTTGAAATGACAGATCACAGAATTCCAAAAAAGGCAAAAAACAATCTACTGGACTTTTTTTCCAATTTTGAAGATGCTTCGCTTCGCACCCAGGAAGCTTTTTCAATTCAAAATGTCAGAATTAGCGTGGAGTTTGAGGCTTTATAGATTGGACCAAAACACCCCCCTGTTTAAACAGAAGGGGATGGACTCAGGCTTCAGATTTCAAAAACCTACAATGCAGCGATAAAGTTGATTCCATCCTGCTATCATCGTATAACCTGACAACAGATGCATGTCTCGCTCCGCCTACAGTAGCTCAACTCGCATACATCTGGAACACCGCCATAGGAATTGCCTTTACTGAAGGCTGGGCCTTATCAAAACTCCTTGCATATGATTGGATAAGCCACTTGTCTGTCATCTTTATCGACGTGCTATTTCAACCACTCACACCGAAGCTAACCCGTGACGCTGTGAGAGGAGGAGCCATTTGGTAGATCAAGCTCTTGCCAAATCCGGTCGGGAGAAGGGCGAAAACATCGTTTCCACCAACAAAAGCCTTCAAAGCCGTTCTCTGATGTTCTTTTAATGAAACAATATCAGATAGATTGGACAACACTCCAGGACACACCCGCCCTGCGTCCTGATTGGCCAGACCATAAATTTGGTTGGGGAAATCACTTTCAATGAGCGGTGTTCCAGATGTATATGAGTGGAGCTAGGCGGAGCGAGACATGCATCTGGCTGTTGTCAGGTTAATCATCGTAACCCCCATCCCCAAAAAAGGGAACAGAACATCTCGCCTGTTCAGCAAGGCCAACAAATTCCCCTAACGAGTCCCTTTCAGAGGCATAGACGGGTATCTGGTATTGCATGCTAACAAAAAAGCCAAAAGACCCCATTTCTAAGGGGTTGACCCATTCGCTCAGTTCAGATTGCATGTTTTATAAGCCCATAACAAGGCATTGATTTTGTCCAATCTATAAAGCCTCGAACTTGACGCTAATTCTGACATTTTGAATTGAATAAGCTTCCTTGATGGGCAGCGAAACATCTTCAAACTTGGAAACAAATCCAGTGCATTGTTTTTTTTTTTTTTTTACTTTTTTGGAATGACTGACCTGGATGATTAAAAATCTTCACCAGCAGCAGATCACAGGGTTCTGGTCTCTGGTTTTTAAAAACAAATTTAAACACAGATGCGGCTTCTGTTGCTGATCCTCTTCTGCACTGCCTTACAGTTGTTCTATGGATGCTTAACTAGTGTTTTAAAATTTATTTTACATAGTTTAAGATTTGTTGTAATGTTTTTTGTAGAGTGCAATGTTTACATACCCTTACATTGCAGACAGAAAAAAATCAACTGCCTGCAAAATAAATTGAAACTGGCAAAAGTAATAATACAAACAAATGATTTAAAAAAAAAAGGAAATCATGACTTAGATGTGCTTTAATGATAAATTTGATTAAAATGTCTTTGTAACATTTTGTTTTATTGTAGCCTATTACTCTAATGGGCATTGATGAGCTGCACACCTCATGGGTAGAGAGCACTGACAGGAAAATGGGTAGGTGAAGCAATAATCTCTACAGAAACTTGGTCATTCGCAATATTCATTTTTTTCTTAGATAAACCTGTAGGTGGAGCAAATGACAGGAGTGCAAATAATCCCTTCCAAAGCTCTTTCATAAGAAAATACAGGTTTGTGCTCTAGTTCTGGTTTTAAGTCTAAGTCAAACCTTGAGTTTACATTGTTTCTAAACTGTGTTTTCATGTTGAATCTAGTGGAACTGCCCACCCTGCTGGGCTCCCAGATAAAGGGAAAAACTGGGAAAGAAGAGGCTCCCTTCAGCTGCTGCCTTCAAGGCCTGCTCTCAGAGTTGGAAATGGTAATTCCGAACAGTTTTGTAATGGCTACGGCCACAGCCGCTGCTACAAGCCCAGTCTAACTGTGGAAGAGGTATGAATTTATGGTTTATAGTATTCTTTCTATTTAGTATTTGGATAATTTTCCTGATTTTGTGTCTTATTTTGTATGCAGTAATTATTAGGTTAACACTCAAGGGTGCCTTGTCATTGCTTAGTATTTTGTACCCCTAAATCATCTTTTTGTTTTTCTTTTTGTTTCAGACCATAAAGCAGAACAATAAGGAGCACTACAGACGCCTATTGGAAATGGTGACTGAAAAATACAGCAAAAACCAACCACTTCCCTTCAACCAGACAAAACCACAGGAGTGAGTGTTTTTATCTGAAGTGTGGGGTTGAAAAAACAAAACGTTAGATTTAATAGCCATGCACTTATCATTCTTTTTTTTTTTTTTTTTTATCCCTAGTGAGTCGACATTACAGCTTTCTCATAAAACACCTGCTTCAGAAAGACCCTTTGACTCTAGGAGGATGGTGTGCACAGGTAGGGCTCTCAGAATAATTTACCTTTTTATGTTTTTTTGTTTGTTTTTTGTTTTCAGATGCTTCCATTAAATCTATAAAATGTCCCACTTTGTTTTTGGGATCATTCAGCTGATTCATATGGGGGGAAAAAATATAAAAATTAGCTGCCTATTCTGATGAAGTGTAATAAGTCAAAGTTAATAGTCATAAATCAAAACAAACAACCAGTTCCACAGCTACAGGGAGAAATCTTGTTCTCCTGCTGCAGCCCAGTGGCGCTCTTCTGTGTGACCAACCTGTCAGCCTCATACCAGCTATAACTTCATCGTATAAACATAGTTTTGTACGTGTTAAAGAGTCTGCGTATTGTCTGGGGTTAAATTGTAAAACAAAAAAAAAATCTAATAATTGTTGGACATTTAAAGCTAAATTATCTGAAACGGGGCATGATGGTCATATTACTATTGCAAAGTTGATTTTCCTGCAGCATTGCAGATGTAGAGAAGTTTTTTGACATGTCCAGAACACCTGTAGCAGCCTTACTTATAATGATCAAATTAAGAATCGGTTTCAAATGCTTAAAGGTACACTATGCAACCAGTGTTGATTTTCCAGCAAGGCTCCCCCCAGAGGGCGAAAGTAAAAGTGCACTGTCGTAAATATGCACAGCTGTTCTCCTGGTTTCTCCGTCAAGCCAGGCGCGGTTGTTTTGAGCTTAGCAGACAGGCGAACGCAACGAATGACTAATGCTGCGTTCACACCGCAGCTGGCGCGACAGAAGCAGCGAGTTTACATGCAAAGTCAATGGTTGACGCGCGTCAAGGCGCAGCAAAAGGTCCCGCGGCGCGTTTTGAGCAGCAGGCGCAGCACGTCTGAGCAGCTGAAGCAGCACGTCGGGCACGTTTAATCATCTGACGCAGGGAGAGAGACACAGCGCTGATGATCACTCCTCTTAAACAGTTTATTGACGCCTAAATTAACTTAAAATGCAGAAATCTGCTGGCAGAATATGTTGGCTTTTATTATCCTGCTGCCTGCAGTCTGGATTATTTAGATGAAAAACACCTACCAGCTGCCACGAGGAGGCGACCCGGCCAGAGGCTGCTGATGAAGGGTTTCCTACTGTCGGCGCACTGCTGGTATGTGGGGGTCTGAGCGGCTCCGACAGAAAAAATATTGAAGGCAGGAGTATAATCTGAATGAACTGACTGCACTGATTACGTTTTCAGGTGTATTTTCTCACTTAAACACATATTAAAACTACTTTATTCCTACTGATCACAGCAAATATAGCTGCAAGGCAGAGAAAGGATAGTGAAGCTTCGCCCAACGCGCGTCAGACACACTTTTGCACCGCGCAGCCAGAGCAGCAAAGCTGCTTCAGCCGCGCGTCAGAACTAACTGGTACAAGCAGCAAAAATGAAGCAGCAGACACGATTTTGCTGCGTCCGATGTGAACGTAACATAACTGCACAAAGATCGCCACTGTGCAGCAACGAGCATGCTTTTAACTGGGGGCGTGTAGCAGTTCTCGCCGTAAAGCAAGACTGACTCTCGTGAGACTTCTGAGCCTGTGGATGCGGGTCGGTGCTCCTGCAATTGCAAGTGCGGTATTTCCCCCACAGACCACCAGGGCGGCCGAGAATACCTTTGTTCAACCTGAAATGACTCATTTAGTCATCCATAACGTTATGGAACACATTAATTAACTGAAAAATGTTGCATAGTGTGCCTTTAATAAGGTGATGCAGCATTGTGTTTTTAAGACTTTCTGAAAGGTTAATGGTAACACTTATTAATAGTTTATAAGTAGGTTTCTAAGTAACGGTCTTCTCCTCTTCACAGCTGCACCAAATGTTTTTACATACAGAAATACTACTACATCTAAAGACAGGTTGGGTTAAAAGTGATTTAAATATATTTTTGATAAGTTAATATCTTTTTATTAATATCTTATTAATCTGTATGTCATGCATCTTCAGGTGGGGAGGGCTAACTTTTAATAAGTTATACAGTGAACCCCTTGAGCAAAAACAGCCTGTTAAATACTCAAAGGTAGGAATTTCTTAATGCTATTATTCTTTGAAAAAGCCTCCATTAAGTCAGTGGAGTAAAGTTCACTTGCGTTGTTGCAGGAAAAAGATGCATCAGAGGTGGACCTTTCTGCCGAAGTCGCTTCTCGCCTTAATCTAGCTGACAAGGATGCTTCTGCACTCAGCATCAGTGAAGCGCCACCTACCTACGCCTCTCACATGTGGCACAGTGATGAGGACATCCCCAGGCTGACCAGAGTGAGATTTGGTGTTTAAATGTGACGTTTCTCTGCATGGTTGCATCCTGTCGTCTTCATGACGTACTTCTCGGTCTCATAGGAAATGGCCATGGAGGTTAATGAGGCTTTGGCTCAAAGAGATCCTAACCTTGTTTTAAGTGCAGCTTTCAAACTTCGCATCACGCAGCGAGACCTGTCAACTCTGCTGGAAGGTGGATGGCTCAATGATGAGGTGCCTGTATGATCAACACAAACCATCACTAATTCAATGATAAGGTTGAGTTGATGAAATAACAAAAAACAAATTTTGTGGCAATATTTTTTCAAGGTAATGAACTTCTACCTCTCCCTCATCATGGAACGATGTTCTGGAGGAAGTGGGAGAATCAAGGTCTACACTTTCAGCACCTTCTTTTACCCGAAGCTGCGAGGCGGCGGAGCAGGAGGACTGCCAGGAGGATATGTAGCTGTGAAGCGCTGGACCAAAGCTGTTGACCTCTTCATGTTTGACCTCATCCTTGTTCCGCTGCATCTCGGTGTCCACTGGGCGTTAGCTGTGAGTCAGGCTCTTAACATTACTGTTAGGTTTAAGAACTCGTTTTTTTGTTTTTTTTTGTTATTACCTTTTATTTCAATAATTTTAGAATAGAAGAATAGAATTCAACTTTTATTATAATTACACCGTCACAAGTACAAAGCAATGAAATTCATTCTCTGCATTTAACCCATCCCCTTGGGAAGCAGTGGGCTGCCATTGTGCAGCACCCGGGGGGCAGTGTGGGGTCAAGGGTCTTGCTCAGGGACCCGGAGTGGCAGTCTGTGGGAGTGGGGCTTGAACTCTGAACATCTGTGATCCAAGTGCAATGCCCTAACCATTTGTAAAACAACATTATGCTAATAGTCACTTTACAAAATGAAAAATATGAAAAAATGGAAACAAGATTGTATAAAATTCCATGAGTGAACAAGGAGCAGCAAGAAATAGCATCTTAAATTAACAACAGCTCTCAAGTTTCAGTGGAACAGAATTGAGTTTGATCGCTTTTCCTAATTTATATATTTATGAAACAAAGGGGGAAAAAATAAGCTACTATGTTTTTTTTTTTGTTTTTTTCTCAATAATGATCGTTTCCAGTAGAGGATACCTTAAATTAAAGTGGAAAACGATTAATGTAATATCAAATTTAACAATGATTCTACTTTTATTTAAATGTATTATCAACTAGAAATTTTGATTTGGCAGATATAATGCATATTTGCCTAAATGTAGTTTGTATATTTATTTAGATTTTGAAAATAACTTTTTTACTCCTTTTACTGTGGTTTAAGCTAATGCAAAATTTTTTTTCTTTTTTGTGTTTTCATACTACAGAAAAATTTTCAAGATTACAAAATAAAATGATGTAGTCTTATTCAAAGTTGAATAAAGTAAACTTTTTATCCTTTGTGCTCTTTGTAAACATTTTTATGAATTTTATGGTTTAAACTGTTCCTTCATATTTTAAGTTAAATTCTCCACTTAGTTTAAAAATTATCAATTAATAAACCCCTTATTAAGTTAACTTTCATTGTCAACGATATTTCTGCCATATTGTTTAAGCCCAAGTGAAAACATATTAATAATCTGGATAAAAGAAACTTTGTTTTCTTCACAAACGTGATCAATGTATATATTATAAAGGGATTGTGTTCCAAACACTAAACCCTGTGCGTCTCTGCATCTAATCTTCTTGCATGCTGTTATTTTGTTTAGCTTCATTAAACTTTTTAAGCTTTAGATTTACCATTTGTTCCTTTAAAAGTATTCTTTTTCTCTTAGGTGATAGATTTCAAGTCAAGAACTGTAAAATCATACGACTCAATGGGTCAGAGACACGATGACATCTGCAATCTTTTACTGTAAGTCTGTAATCTCTCTCATTAGATCCTGTATTGATGAAAATCCAGGATGAATGATTTTCTTTTAATTATACTGAGCTAAAAATGATCCAGCTCTACTTTTCCTCCAGACTTTACCTTACAGAAGAGCACAAAGCAAAGAAAGGAAGGGAACTTGACCGTGCCAAATGGACTGTTGGAAGCCTGAAGGTTGGTGTACATCAAACATGCTTTTTACATAATTTTTTTAATTGTATCCGCATGTAAGAGATTGATGCATCATTCTGCAAAAACAGGATATTCCTCAGCAGAAAAATGGGAGCGACTGCGGTGTTTTTGCCTGTAAATATGCAGACTATATTGCAAAGGGAAAGCCCCTCACTTTTAAACAGGTAAGTGCAAATATCTATATAATTCCACCACTTATGGTTTAACTTGTAAACGAGATGTTTGCACAAAAGCATTTGTATTCTACTGCTTTCTACTTCTTTTACACCTTTAACGTTTTCTTTACAGTGTGTTATACTAGGCAACTTTTTGTTCTAATTTAATGATCTTTGTTTTTAGTGCCACATGCCTCTCTTCAGGAAGTTAATGATGTGGGAAATCCTCAATCAGAAGATGCTATAGAAGATTATGATCCCAGCAACAGCAGCAGCTACATGTTGGTCTCTCAAAACCCCGACTTTACTGACTGAAAGCTAATCCTCATATTTTGAGTAATCAAACGCTAGTCTTAACTTTATATCTCTTTCTAGAGAAATTATATTCAATCTCTGAGTTCTAAGTGGAGATAGTTTTGGAAGGAAATTTTCGATGCACAAACATTGGCACTAATGAGTGAATGAGTTTTGATCCAAGATTGGTATTTTTTTACAGCCTGTAAGTGCCTTTAACCCTGTTGTGGAGCTTATTCAAGCTTATTTTGCTCTCTCTGTTGTTTTTTTTCAGCCAGGCCAAGAATGCAGTCTTTCTTTCATAATGGTTGTTTAAAAACATATCTAAATGAACAGAAGTATGTAAATGATTATATTTAGACATAAAACTGTGTTGTGTGAAATGTAAATGCTGGAAATGTTACCTCCTGTTTTGTTAAATATTATTTATGACTTTACTGAAAGGAAAAACTGTTAACTGTAGTAAGGCTTCTTCATTTACTCATATAGTCAAGGTACAAAGACTTAGATTTTTGGTTTACTTCCTAGGGAACTACTGAACAGGCGTGAATGTTAGCACTCATGCTTTGAATGTGACACCCTCCTGTAATAAAGTGTTTTTTTTTGCAATCACGGTTCAAGATTTTGTTTTTTTTTTCTTGTGGGCTGCTACAGTTGTTTGGGTCCTATTGGATCAGTGAGCTTTTCCAAAGGTAATTGCATCCTAAATTAATAAAGGAATGAACTGTAATTTGGAAATTAAAAGTCTAGTTATGGCTCAAGGTTTGTCTTGGAAAAAACTTTTTACATAATTGGTACATTTCCATTTTATAGTACAACTATATGATAGGAATAGCCTTCAAGAGTGGAGAGAGTACAAAAAAAAGATACAAGATTAAAAAAAGATTGAGCTGTCATGACAGATTTACAACATAAATATTCGACTACTTAAGAAAAAGGGGAAACTGTATAAATGTGCATTAAACACACCAACAGAAGATAAGAATAAAAAAGACTAAAAAGAGATGAGATATAACTTGGAAAGTCTTTTTGCCAGAGTCCTTTCATCTCCACCACTCTGCACAGAGTTGGGAAGGGAAGCATTATCCGACGGCTTTGTCTGTAGATGAGCTACTGCTTAAACCAACTAAACCAGGGAACAACCATAGTTATGTCTCAATTTCGACTTAGAGGGTGGTCCACTCAACAGCTTCATATTGTGATAAATCGGGATAAACTACTGCTAAAAATGTTTATACACATTTTTGTCTCATGGCATATAGTTATCAATTAAAAGCAGAACATAAGATCAATCAATAGTTCTTAATTTAAAATGTCAAAATTGTAAATAATTGAGAACCCCTACAGACATGGCATGCATTGTACATATCAATTGTCAAAAGTTCGACTTTAAACATTTACTTAATAAAAATCTGAGGAAATTTTGATTTTTTTTTTTCTACAATCTAATCCATTTAATAATGGGCGCAGGAACCACATGCCACCCACAGGTGCTGGTCATAAAATTAGAATATCATGAAAAAGTAGATTGATTTCAGTAATTCCATTTAAAAAGTGAAACTTGTATATTATATTCATACATTACATACAAACTCATATATTTCAGATGTTTATTTTGTTTAATTTTGATGATTACAAATGACAACAAATGAAAATCTCAAATTCATCATATCAGAAAATTAGAATATTGTGAAAAGGTTCAAAATTGATGGCCCCTGGTGCCACACTCTAATCAGCTAATTAACTCAAACCACCTGCAAAAGCCTTTAAATGGTCTTTCAGTCTAGTTCTATAGGCTACACAATCATGGGGAAGACTGCTGACTTGACAGTTGTCCAAAAGACGACCATCGACACCTTGCACAAGGAGGGCAAGACACAAAAGGTCATCGCTAAAGAGGCTGGCTGTTCACAGAGCTCAGTGTCCAAGCACATTAATAGAGAGGCGAAGGGAAGGAAAAGATGTGGTCGAAAAAAGTGTACAAGCAAGAGAGATAACCGCACCCTGGAGAGGATTGTGAAACAAAACCCCTTCAAAAATGTGGGGGAGATTCACAAAGAGTGGACTGCAGCTGGAGTGAGTGCTTCAAGAACCACCACACACAGACGTATGAAAGACATGGGTTTCTGCTGTCGCATTCCTTGTGTCAAGCCACTCTTGAACCACAGACAGCGTCAGAAGCGTCTAAAGAGAAACAGGACTGGACTGCTGGTGAGTGGTCCAAAGTCATGTTCTCTGATGAAAGTAAATTTTGCATTTCCTTTGGAAATCAAGGTCCCAGAGTCTGGAGGAAAAGAAGAGAGGCACTTCATCCACGTTGCTTGAAGTCCAGTGTAAAGTTTCCACAGTCAGTGATGGTTTGGGGTGCCATGTCATCTGCTGGTGTTGGTCCATTGTGTTTTCTGAGGTCCAGGGTCAACGCAGCCACATACCAGGAAGTTTTAGAGCACTTCATGCTTCCTGCAGCTGACCAACTTTTTGGAGATGCAGATTTCATTTTCCAACAGGACTTGGCACCTGCACACAGTGCCAAAGCTACCAGTACCTGGTTGAAGGACCATGGTATCCCTGTTCTTAATTGGCCAGCAAACTCTCCTGACCTTAACCCCATAGAAAATCTATGGGGTATTGTGAAGAAGAAGATGCAATACACCAGACCCAACAATTCAGAAGAGCTAAAAGCCACTATTAGAGCAACCTGGGCTATCATAACACCTGAGCAGTGCCACAGACTGATCGACTCCATGCCACGCCGCATTGCTGCAGTAATACAGGCCAAAGGAGGCCCAACTAAATACTGAGTGCTGTACATGCTCATACTTTTCATGTTCATACTTTTCAGTTGGCCAACATTTCTATAAATCCTTTGTTTTTATTGGTCTTCAGTAATATTCTAATTTTCTGATATGATGAATTTGAGATTTTCATTTGTTGTCATTTGTAATCAAAATTAAACAAAATAAACATCTGAAATATATGAGTTTGTATGTAATGTATAAATAAAATATACAAGTTTCACTTTTTAAATGGAATTACTGAAATCAATCTACTTTTTCATGATATTCTAATTTTATGACCAGCACCTGCAGATGATAAACAGAACTCAAAAAAAAAATTTTTCGCGGGAAAGAAAAACACTTTTATTTTGAAATGAACCGGAAACTGCGTCTTGAGCCGTGGAACATTATAGAAGGCTGCTGTTGTTAGGCGGTGTGGGGGAGAAACGGCTAGTCGTGCGTTGTGCTTTCTCAAGATATAACATTTCAGCTCAATCTCTCGCTGTTGCACACATTTTAAAGTCGTTTCGTTTCTCTCACTCTATAATGAGCGACAACGAAAAGGAGTTCAGGGAGCAGGTGAGTTTTATATTTAGAAAATACCGAGTTTCTTCGGTTAAGAAAAAAAGCGGCTAGCTAATCTCACGGTTTCAAGCCGATGAACGCCTGAAGAGGTTTGTTTATTCGAAATGCTTAAGGTTTTTTAAAACTGCTGCCTGTATATAAGATGTAATTGAATTTATTGTTATTTTTTATAAATAATTAATTCTTGATAGTTGCAACAAAATCGAAAGTATAGAGTTACTTCCCAAGGCATGCTAGGCCAAACCATGCGGCCTTTTGCAGATCGGAGAAAATGGTTCCGCCTCGAGGTACTCTCGTTTGTTTTAAGCAATGCATAACGAAAGCTAAATAAAAGTATTACTGTATGTGAAACTTGTTCCTCGGTTATGTAAAAATTAACTTTATGAGATATTTTTCTAGGTTTTATTTATATTTCTTCTCTTTTATACCTTTTGGTTAAAACAGAAACCAACTTGCCTTATCACCCTTGTTTGTTTTTTGTCAAGGTTAAGGTGGGAAGAAAGGAAAATGGCCCAAGACGTGTCAGATGTGACGTTTTTAATATTTGAAGCTGATGGGGTTGATGCATGCTAATGTTTTGGAAGCTGAAAAGAAGCGATCAAGATCTGGCCTCACTTCTAGTGTTGTAATGGCAGATGGTAAAAGGGGGAAGAGGAGGAGGAAAAAAGAAGTCAGATTCAAACGGAAGAAAGAAGAAATGAAGGGTTGTTATGAAGTAATGAAGTGAACGAAGTTATGAAGTTAAGATCAGAAGTATAACTGGGTATGAGTGATCTCCTAACAACACGTTATATTTCTCTTTTACTGTTTCTTTCTGCTTAGCATGCTTTTTTTTGCCCTTTCTGTATCAGACACATCACTGAATGTTCCCCTCAATTCTATTAGATATATATATTTTTTTAGTTTAGCTAATTTATTTGTATTTCTATTATATAATGCAGTATATTATCTCAAATGTCCTGATAATTCCTGTCAAACCCTCTAATCTCCATACTGTGATGCTCCCCTTCTGAAAAGGGCATTAAGAGGGCTGAGGGGTTCTCCCCTCCTGGCCCTTTTTGCTTTGAGACAAACTGATCTGTAAATGGCTTCTGATACCCGTCTTTGGTCTACTCAGGACTCTCGGGGAGGCTCAAGGAGTGCATCCCCAAGGGGCTCGGCAAAATCCACCAGCCACTCTCCTGCACGCTCCAAAGATGGCTCCCGGAGATCTCAGTCCAGATCTCGCTCTCATTCCAGATCAAAATCCAGGTAAGAGTTTTAAAAAGCCTTTATAAGTCACATTTCTATGATATATGAAATAATGGTTCCCCCTTCCTTTGCCACCCCCAAAATAGATCAAGGTCCCATCGGAGCTCACGCAGGCGGTACTCCCGGTCCCGTTCCCGCTCTCGGCGCAGGCGTTCAAGGAGCCGCTCTCGAAGCTCGGATTACCGTAGACGCAGGAGCCATAGCCACTCCCCCATGTCGAATCGGCGCAGGCACATTGGCAACAGGGTGGGTTACCTCTTTGAAAAAAGTCTTAAAAGCTGTGTACCATTATTATAAGTCATGTTTCTATTTAACAGCAATATAGAACAATGCTTTGTTTCTGACACTTGTTTTTTTTTTTTTTTTTTTTTTTTATGTTCTACATTTGTCTTGTTTTAAATACCAGGCCAACCCAGATCCCAGCGCCTGCTTGGGTGTGTTTGGTCTGAGCCTTTACACCACTGAGAGGGACCTGAGGGACGTCTTTTCTAAATATGGCCCACTGGCTGAAGTCAACATAGTGTATGATCAGCAGTCACGTCGCTCGAGAGGTTTCGCCTTTGTTTATTTTGAAAACAGTGCCGACTCAAAGGAGGTAAGCATGTGTTTGGGTTACATATTTAGATCGCATTCTGCTTAGCTGGTGCTCATAATCTCATCTCTGTCAGGCCAAGGAGCATGCTAACGGCATGGAGCTGGATGGGCGCAGGATCAGGGTGGATTTTTCTATCACCAAAAGAGCTCACACCCCAACTCCTGGGATCTACATGGGACGTCCGACCTAGTGAGTGTTCGTGGAGGGGATGTTTTTATATTTTGTAAATGGGGGGGCATTTATACTTTGTACTGTGTGTATAAAGGTGACTTTTTGTGTTTGCAGTGGTGGTGGCGGCGGCGGCGGCGGAGGTGGTGGTGGTGGTGGTGGTGGAGGTGGTAGTTCATCACGACGATTTTCTAGGGAGTACGACAGGGGCTATGATAGAGGGTACGATCGAGGTTATGATCGCGACTACGATCGCTACGAAGAGCGAGATTACCGATCGTACAGGTACAGCAGTCTCATAAAACCACAAGTAGATTTTCTTGTGTTTTGTTCAGTACCTCTAAAATTCATGAAGACTAACTGTCAATTTTAAAACAGACGCAGATCACCGTCGCCATATTACAGCAGAGGTTACCGCTCACGATCTCGATCCTACTCACCACGTATGTATAAAAGAAACATTTTATATTTGGATTATAAATAGTAAATGTTAGTTTATGGTTAACAAGGACAAATCATCTATAATATATACTTGCTTATTATATAACTTGTGCAATGATTGAGGCTGTATTTTTTTAAGCAAATTAGATACTTATTTTTTGGGGTAAATGTGTAGTTCTTGGTGCATATGCTCCATGCAGGCTGAGTTTCTCAAAAACTGGCCTATGTAAATTGAGAGGGGGTGAATCTGTCACCAAATGAGCCATTTTATGGTGGCCTGAGATGCCCTTAAAAAGGGAGCTACAAGCTAAAACTTGTGAGGTAACATTAAAGACTTGATACCTTATTGGATGTATTTTCTTCACTAGAAAATGATTTCATCTAAAGGATTGAATATGGCCTTGAATTTACAAGTAACTCCATGTGGGTTCAGTGTTTTGCTGTCAGAAGGCAAAACATGGAAGAGTAGCAGCAGCAGTGCTACCAGGGCCTATAGTGGGGCAGTTACAGGTCCAGTTCCCCTGGTGGCTGAAAATTAGTATTGCTTCCATTTATTAGAGTTGATTTGATAATGGGATGCATTTTAAAGCTCTTTTTTTACCCCCTTACCTGAGCATTTGGTGTCTTTTTCTTAATCTATGCTTTTTTTTTTTCTTTTTTCTTTCAGGTCACTACTAGGCAACGAGGATCATCAACAGTGGTGGTGTTAACTTCCCAATGCTTTTTTTTTTCTCCATTTCTGTGTGTGAAAGGGACTTTTGCATGTGTTAATCTGTAAAAACGTTTTATTTTTATCTGCAACAATGTCAAAGCCAGTGCTAAGTTTTTAAGTTTGAATTAATCATAGAGGTCCAAAGTTTTTTTTTTTTTTTTTTTTTTTTTCTTTCATTCTTCTCAGTTGTGTTCTTTTCCTGAACATAATTCTGTATGTCAACTCAAGAAAAAAAGTCTTTTAAAATAATTGGAACAATAAATGCATTGCTTTAATTGACATGTTTTTAATCTTAATAGGATTTTTGTGTGTGTGGGGGGGTTATGTTTCCTTTTTAGTTTTTGTTCCATAGAGATTGCTTCTTTGAAAGTAGGAAAGGGGATTATGTGGTTGAAGAAATGCCCAACGGCTGTGTATTTTTGAATCATGCACCCTCCTTAGCTAAAATTCCCTACGCTGGAAACGCCTCCACTGGTAATTTTGTAAATTAAAACCGAATTAAATGTAATTTACATGTCCAGCAGAAGTTCTGCGACCAGAGCATCTGTTTTCAGACCCTGTTGCTGCTTTTGAGGGCACACCATCTTTGAAAAGAGTCTCCTAAACACACTTCCAGCTTTTAATTGTCATTACACTGTCATAAGCAACAAAATGAACTCTGCATTTAAGCCATCCCTTGGGGGAACAGTGGGCTGCCATTGTGCAGTTCCCGGGGAGCATCGTGTGGTTAAGGGTCTTGCTCAGAAACCCAGAGTGCAAGAGTCCATCAGTAAAGTCATTTTAGATGAATCTCGACACTTAATTTCTGGGGTAAATCCACTTTCATACCTTTTACCTTCCAAATAGTAAATGTGGCATCTGTCTTTGCTTGATTGTTACTAATTATCTGCTGTATATATGCAATAAAAACACATTGGCAAATTGTGTCATCGATAAGGTATTGTGGACTATGTATAAATGACATATCCAATGTATATTTATATCGAAATGTTTAAGGGTATGAGTTTAACCTATGTAGGTTCTACTACTAATAATTCCTAAAAATCCTGTCTAAAGAGGAAGGCTGTAGTTTTAACTCAGAATCACTTGTAACACCATAGACTTAAGGATAAAAGTTAGATTTCCAACAATTTTCTTAAAATATCTAATAACAGGTTATGGGGCAGTTTGTTTTTAATCTTTTTTGTTTTTATATCTTGTAAAAAAAAAAAACTCCCAAAATGTACGTATGTATGTTTACAGGAATCTACCAAGAATGCAGTTTCCAGGGTGCAAAATAATAAAAAACAATATATATATTTTAATCTATTAGGCGTTTCATCCAAATAACATTGTCAGGTGGTAATGATTTGTAAAGGACAACGCTTTGTTGCTCAGTTCTGATTTATATTTTTAAAATATTTTAATCAAAGTAAAGAAAGTAGATGATAAAGCTTTGCCAAGATGATCTTTCCTGTTATGGTGGATGCAAAGCAGCTTTAAGGTGCATACTACCACCACCTACTGGACATGAGCGTATAGCAACATTACAGTGAGCCGTATAGTTTCAGCAGATAAAAAAGATGGAGCCTTCCTCTGACGTGGGGTCCCAGATGCCACTTTGACCAATCAGATACGTTTGCGTCATGCCACTTCCGCTCAACTCAGACCTGCCTTTCCAGTGGAGTGCCTGGTGTGATCGGACAGCAGGAAAGCTAAAACCACGTAGGAAAAGGGACTAAAGGTATCATGCATGTTGTTTTCTCTGCCAAACTTTTTTTCCGGGATGTTTTAACTGACCTAAATGAATCCCTGGACGTTTATTTATCCGTTGCTGTCGTATACTTTGGGTGGTTCCAGTTAGCCACCTGCTAACGCCTAGCATGCAGTGTTTGAATGGGCATATAGGAGTATTGCTGCCTCAACACGTTTCCCCCATGGCTTTTATAGAACAATCCTGGCTTGTCTTGTAAACATATAAATGGTTTAGTTGTTCTATGCAGAATCTGATCATAAAACCCAGTATGTAAAGTATGTTTAATTGTTGAATATTTCTCTTTTTAAACCTTAGATGCCTCCAAAAAAGACAGAAGCTCCAAAACAGCCTCCACTAATTGGCCGATTTGGAACATCCCTGAAAATTGGCATTGTTGGGTTGCCAAATGTCGGGTAAAAAATACACCTTGCTGATTATGGAAATAATTTTTGAGTCATAACCAACATAATTGCTGCGGTATTGCTGATACTTTTCTGTCTTTGTAGGAAATCTACATTTTTTAATGTGCTGACCAAAAGCCAAGCTGCTGCAGATAACTTCCCCTTCTGCACCATTGACCCGAATGAGAGCAGGGTGCCAGTTCCTGATGAGCGCTTTGACTACTTGTGCCAGTACCACAAGCCAGCAAGGTTTGTTACAGCTGTTCAGTGATCATCATTATTACAGGCTTCCATTTGGACCAATCACAGCTGTAATATCCGGATTTGCAGTAAACCAAGCAGATCAAAAGAAGAGGATACATGAGTTTTCTGGAAAATGGTTCATGTTCTGTCAGGTTAGAGGAAAAACATGTGTAGTTTAAAGTATAGCCATAGATGAAAAATTAGATTCAGTTTTGGACTTTTAGTTGATCATTCTATTGTAATACGCTTCATCTAAACTATTGCATATTCAGGGTCGTTGCCCTTTGGTTACCATTTTGTGGCAGATGTTCTGCCAGGATTGCCCTTTAAATAGCTTCATCCATTAAAGAAAGAAGCGCCGAGGATACATTCAGCAAATGATGCCAGAACCTGTTTTAAGGAAAAATTCCAATCATTTTACACACAATTTGTACCAAAACCTTCCAAGTGCTTAAACACATGGCAATAGTGATGTTGCATCATGAAGCAATGCCAAACTGTATTGATACTGTTATATTGATTACTGACTCCTGCTGGACCTATTCAATCCCTCCAGGCAGCCTGTTTGACAGACAACTGTCACTGACTTGATGACGATAATATATTAAGTCATTTAAGTCATCATATCTTGCATTGTATTGTCTTTAATGACATATAAATATTACATGATGTGAACATGCATCCAAAAGTGAACATGCTTTGAGTGAAGATGTTTGTGGAGGAGGATTAATTTATTTATTTTATAGACTCTAATAAAAAAAAAATGAAGATACAAAAAAGCTTTTTTAACATCTTGAAATTTAGTCTGTCACAGTTTATAGATACTTCTCCAGCTGCAGAAAGAGTGCAGTTCAGACAAATTCTAAAGAAGGGCTTTGGTTGTCCTAGTATCTCATAGGATCCTGGTACCTGGTAATATTGGTCTATTCCGACTATCTGTTGATCTCCTGGATGGCATCAGCTGTGGCACTTTTGGTCTGCCTGCCCAATTTGATGTTGAGATTAAAAGGATATCTAGAAAAACAACAAATAAGCCTGCCTACATAATTTCCAAAACAAAGACAAACCGATAATGCTAACATCTCCGCAGTGAGTGCAGGCAGCTGTTGTGAAGACGACCCCGACTGGAACTAATTTACAATAACAGAAAATATTAAATACATTTTAATTCAGATAGGAAACTGAAAGGAAAAGGAAGACACAATAAGGTAACAAATTTCTAATTTTCCCGTATAAGATCAAAATGGTCCCATAGGACTGAAACCTTTCTTTGACTTGTGGCTGCTCCATAATTCTTGGTGAAGGTCTTTTTGGCTGTTGCATCCCGTTAACAGGTATGCTGCCTTTTAAACATCGGTTCTAAACAGCTTTTGTATTTTCATGTTAACGTTTACCGACACCGGGTTTTACTGGATAGATGCATAAAAGTTGCTGGACCCATTACAACCAGGCATCTACTATCACCCAAGGGTGCCGTACAGCTGTTGCTAAACTTTAAATGAATGAAGGAAAACTTAAACAGCCATGCTTCCATCTTTTTAATCACCCGTATGAAACTATTGAATCTAACATGACAAAGGCTGGAAAAGATGGAATGCATTGTTTATAGCACTGTCCAAATGAGTCCTTTTTTATTTTTTGTCTCTTCAGTAAAGTTCCTGCTTTCCTTAATGTGGTGGACATTGCTGGTCTGGTGAAGGGAGCTCATACAGGCCAAGGACTTGGAAATGCATTCCTCTCTCATATCAGTGCCTGCGATGCCATTTTCCATATGACCCGTGAGTAACTTGTAGCAAAACACATTTAGGGAAAGGGGAATATGCTTCCCTGTCAAACAAAACAAGTTTGATAATTTTCTTTTTTTTTTTATTGTTTTATGTAAGAGAGACTTTTGGTATGTTTAAGGTGCTTTCGATGATGAAGACATCACTCATGTGGAAGGCAACGTCGACCCAGTGAGAGACATAGAGATCATCCATGAGGAGCTGCGGCTAAAAGACGAGGAAATGATCGGCCCGATCATAGATAAGCTGGAGAAAACCGCCGTCAGAGGAGGAGACAAAAAACTAAAACCTGAATATGTAAGAAATTCTGATTTACGGTTACATTTAATATTCAGGTTGATTTCAGTGCATTTTAACACCAGTTGACTGATTGTTCCCTCAGGATATTATGATGAAAGTAAAGAACTGGGTTGTGGAAGAGAAGAAACATGTCCGATTTTACCACGAATGGAACGACAAAGAGGTATTAACCCGCATGCTTGATATACTAGAATTAATTAAGAAACATTTCTGAGTTATTAAATATTTTTTGTTATTGCTCTCTGCAGATTGAGGTGCTGAACAAATACTTGTTTCTGACATCAAAGCCCATGATTTACCTGGTTAATCTTTCGGAGAGGGATTACATCAGAAAAAAGAACAAGTGGTATTTTACTTTTTTTTTTTTTTTTTTGCTTTCCTCTCCAACTCGTTTCTAAATGTCTATCGAAATATAACTCCATAATTTAATCACACGTCGTCTTCTGATTTGAGGTTGGCAAAAATCAAAGAGTGGGTAGACGCCCACGATCCTGGTGCCGTGGTGATTCCACTGAGTGGAGCGCTGGAGGCTAAACTTCAGGAGATGGAAGAGGAGGAGAGGAATAAATACTGCGAAGAACAGAAAACGCAGAGGTCAGACTAATACCACCACCTGTGGGTTTTGGTATTCGCTCTCTGCAGCGTCTCATCAAAAAGTAATGCTTAATATTTATCTTCTGCTCTGAAACCAAAAGCTGTGTTTACATGGATCAGTCTGAAGAATGGGATTAAGACTGTGTGATTCTAACAGGATTGGAATGAGATGAGAATCTGACTGATGGGCTGGTTTGTCCCAATTGGCAGTATGATCAGCAT